GGTCACTCAATCCACGACTGTTTGTGGGACACTGCTGTGTGCATATGGCTGCTGCGTTTCGCCAACAAAATACACAGTCTTTACTTTATATATTTTACAGTATATTCTGTGTGGTGCTTTGAGACGTCTCAAAGACGTGATAAGGTACTATATCAAATTCAAGGATTATTATTATTACAAAGTGCCACCAAGTGGGATATTGCTGGGCGCATACGGGCTGCTGTATCTGCCCACAAGATACAAATCACAGTAAAGCGCTTTGAGATCTTGACAATATAATACAAAGCTGTATCAAATACAAGTATTGTTACTATCAGCTTTTTGATTCTGTTGCACGTTTCTCTTCTATTTGCTCCAGCCTGAATTACACGGGTGCACTTTCGCAGTGCACTTTCAATAACAACATTTCAACTATCCTTTCTACCCCATGCCATGACCCGCTCTGCCTTCCCCACCTCCGCAATGTCACCCGGTTCCACCACTGTCGCACACCGCAGGCCACCAAAACCCTCACACACGCTTTCATTACATTGAGGCTTGACTATGCAAATTCACTGCTTGTCGGCCTCCCCAACTCCTCCCTCCATAGGCTGCAGATCATCCAGAACGCTCCAGCTCGTGTCCTCTCCCGTACGAGGCTCCATCCTTGCCCGACTCCACTGGCTTCCCATCACACAGAGGATAGAGTTTAAGATGCTGGTCCTCACCTTCAAAGCCCTCCACGGTCTTGCTCCCCCCTATCTCTGCAACCTCCTAACCCCCTACAACAACAAAATTATATTTATAGAGCGCCTTTCAAGTTGGGAGGATGTCCCAAAGCGCTGAACAGTCAGGTGTCGGGGTCCAAGCATGGGGGAGGGTGATGTAGAGGTGAAGGAAGGCAGAGAGGTGGGAGGGAGACCAAAGGCACGATCAAAGAGAAGGATCTTGAGACCGGCCTTGAAGGAGCCAAGGGAGGAAGTGAGGCAAAGGGACCGTGGGATGGAGTTCCAGAGTATGGGGGCAGAGAGACTGAAAGCCCGGCCACCGAGAGTAGGGCGGGTCGGGTGGGAGACATGGAGCAGACCGGAGCCCGATGAACGGAGGGAGTGGGCAGATTGGTAGGGAGTCAGCAACTCAGAGAGGTAGGAGGGGGCAAGGCCATGGATGGCCTTCAAGGTGAGGATGAGGATTTTGATCTTGATCCTCTGGGGGATGGGGAGCCGGTGGAGTCGGGCGAGGGTGGGAGTGATGGGGTCATGGAGCCTGGTGCGTGAGAGTACACGAGCTGCAGATGATCTGCAGCTTGTGAAGGGAAGAGTTGGGAAGGCCGATGAGGAGGGAGTTCCCATAATCAAGTCTTGATGTGACGAATGTGTGGGTGAAGGTTTCGGCAGCCTGAGGGGTAAGGCCGTGGCGGAGTCTGCCAATATTGCGGAGGTGGTGGTAGGCAGTGCCGATCATGGCGCGGATGTGGGGGAGAAAGGACAGTTCAGGGTCAAACAGGATACCCAGGTTGCTGACTGGCTTAGTGAGGTTGAGTGTGCAGCCGCGGAGGCTGATGCTGCCACGCCTGAGGTGTGGAGGCACTGGCGCGAGCCAATCAGGAGGGCCTCGGTCTTGCTGACGTTGAGTTGGAGAAAGTTGGCCCTCGTCCAGGATTTGATGTCGGACAGGCAGTCGGTCAGGACGCCAGTAGTCCTGTTCGCTCCCTCCGCTCAGCAGGCTCCAGCCTGCTTCACGTTCCCCGTCTCGCTCGCCCCACCATTGCCTGGTGGGCCTTCGACCACTCTGCCCCCACCCTCTGGAACTCCATCCCGCAGTCCCTCCGCCTCACCCCCTCCCTTGTCACCTTCAAGACCCATCTCAAGACCTCCTCTTTCACTGTACTTTCAACCTCCCTAATTACCCCCCGCCCTCCACACTCCCCCACCCCGAGCCCCAGCTCAGCTCCGTAACTCTCTGTCCAACGACTTGCGACGTCCTCATGACCTGAAACGCGCTATACAAATGGAATTTTGTTGTTGTTGTGTAGTGCCCTTTATGCGGGGCAGTGTCTCAGATGGCTGGTTTCCAGTCAAGTGTAGTGACGGTGCATCTGTGTATAGATTGGTGTATGTTTTTTTAGAAGAACTTGAAAACCTTTTCCGGTTCATTAATTCATTGGCAACCCAAGACATACCCAATCACGTCACTCAGACACTTTAAACGATTTGTGGCTAGTTAACGGGACTTTGCTCTGCTCAAATTGACTGCCTGCTTTGTTGAAATACAAAATAAATAGTCACTACATTTTCCAGTAAAGGATTTGACTAAGCCAGGGCCATTCCTGAGCCAGGCTGACTCCAGCGGCAATGTCACTGGGAGTGAAAGGATCTCAGAATCTGTCCAGGAAGTGGCCATGACATAGGTAGTGACTGGCTGAGAGAAAAGGTCTGGGCTTAATTTGTCACTGAATAAGGAGAAGGAAAGTGGAGGATTCGACTTTCAGTATAGGACTCTCGAGTAGCCACACCCCCGGGAATGCTTTTGCAGTGATCCGGAAAGGGTGTGAGGTGTCAGCCTGGCTTAGTGGTAGTGCTCTCGCCTCTGAGTCAGAAGGTTGTAGATTTAAACCCCACATCGTGACTTGGAATCACAGTCTAGGCCAACAATCCAATGCAGTGCTTTTGCATTTATATAGAATCCTTCACACGGATTATTGTCTCAGAGATCTTAACACTTGTCTTGGAACGATAATACTGTGTACGCACTCTGCAGCACTCGGAGATATTATCCATTGTGAAGGGTGCAAGTTATAAATGCAAGTTACTGTTGTTGTTTTCTGGCTCTTTCAAGTGTCGCTAATTGTGGAGTAAGGCACATTCATTTTGACTTAAACTGAAGCTATTTCAGTACCACTTTGTCCTATGAAACCCAATAGGGCTTCCAATCTCTCTGCATTTCTTTCTTTCATCTGAAAATCCTGATGAGCGCCTCTGGATTATCGGCATTCTGTCCATATTCCAGGCTTTCAAGCATGGCATTTCTTTCCCTCTATTTCATTTCTTTACACAGCCAGGAATTGGCAGCTGGAAAGGAGTTTCCAAAGTCAAGCCCTAAACCAGCTCTAGCTTTTGATCAACCTTTTTGATCTGTCAATAAAATGTTTTTGATTGAATATTTCTTCATTTACGCCATAAATCAAGAAATATTCAATGAAGAAAAATCAGGAAACACACTACCGATTGAATACAAATTTACCTAGCCTCGTGCACATGTTTGTGGTGGGTACTGGTGGTGGTGGGTGGCTTCTTGGCGGCTTGGTGGGGCGTAAAGGGTAGGATAATCCTATCTGAAAAAACAGCAGGAAAGCCTGCTTAGCTGATGAGACTCCAGCATTTACCCTGATGCACTAAATGTAATTTTGTTGTTGTTGTTGCACACTCTTGGGTCCTCAACCCTCAGCTCTCGCCAATATGTTCCAAGTACTTTTGGGAATTAGGTAAGCAGGATGCAACCCTCTGAGGGTATAGTGCGCATTGCATTCCATAGACAGGGAACTTTCCATGCGTGGGTGGTAGACACTTGTGGAACTGTCAGTCTGGTTTGGAGATTCTTAATCATAGTGATAGGCTTCCACGTGTGTCAGTCACCTGGCTGACCATCAAAATCATTATATTCCCCTTTACGTTGTTGTGTGTGGGGACTTTGCCTTGCGCAAATTGGATGCCGTGTTTGTCTACAGTACAAAGTTATTGCATTGAGAAGTCCTTCTCATGAGATGAAGCACTATAAATGCATTATTACAAATGCAGTCTGATTTTTGAAATCAACAGAAAAGTTCAAAGTGATTGAAAACACACAGAGAGATAACAGACGAACAGCTGTCCCTAAATTTCCCAAAAGCCTCAAATGCTCTGAAGACTCTTATTGTTGTCACTGTGGGAAGGCTAATATCAAACTTTATTTTAGTAACAGTGCCATATGGTTCAGCTCAGGCCACCGCCCCCTATCCCAGGGAGAGGGGAGAGGTCACAGGGACTGAGAACAAGTCTGTCTGTCGTGAGTCTCACTGATGAGCCGAACAGATTGATTGACTATCAACAGTGCTACGGATTAGTAACAATAAAAATCTTTCACATGTGACACACCTCCTGTAACCCTCAAAGTCTCAAATTGCTGCACCATTACTGAAAAGAATGGCATCTGAGCTCCTGAGGATAAAACTGAGAAGCTTCCTCTGACCCATCTGCACAGTCCAGGATCAAGCAGTGAGGTGAATTTGTTGGAAACACGGGAAGGGGCTACAGGAATGGAGGGCTCCAGCCTACACTGATTTGCCACTAAGCTGGAGTCAGCTTCACAGCGGGCACGTCTATTTACCAAGGACCCTCACATGAGGACCTGGATTAAGAAGCTGGTGCTGAGTAAGCCTGGTACGCTGTATTGGACTTGGACCTCAAGAACATGAAGGTGGCTGGCGCGTCACAAGTTGTCCTGTAAAGGTCCTCCCACTATACAAAAGGCAGATGCCCACCAGATAGCTGATGAGGAAACTCTGAGGCTTGGAGTCCGAGTCTGTGAACACACATTCGTACATTTAGTGCCTGGAATCCATCTTGATTGCAGAGAGGTAAGCAGCTGCTGCTTAAACTCCGCATCTCCAATTGGTGGAACCATCGCTCAATGGGAAGGGATGTGGGCCTGAGCTGCGGACAGGCAGATGGTGGCAATGTATTTCTTGCTGAGCTGTGTTGCCCACCGGGAAACTCGCAGTGAGTTGCTTGTTCCTAGCATCCATCTAGTGAGGCCTCAAACCCATGCTTGTTGGATGTTGAAAGACCAACGCGTGACCATTCTCCTTGGGAGGAGGTAAGTGGGGTTTCCTTGGAGCTGAACTGCCTCCAAGGTGATGTGCTTGGCAATGGAATGTTGGAATCGAGCCAGCCCTCTGGGGTGGTCTTGATAGTCCGGTTCCTGAGCCAGGTTTGGGGTGTGTTGGGTTCGCTGATGTTGGGTTTGTTGCTTCCTTTCTCCAGCCTCACACAGCAAGTGTGTCACAGCTGCTTCAAGAAGCAAGCCAAGCTGCACCGCTGTGGCCACTGCAAGTTCGCCCACTACTGCGACCGCACCTGCCAGAGGCAGGCATGGACGGAGCACAAGAACGAATGTGCTGCTGTGAAGAAGGCCGGCAAGGCCCCAAACGAGAACATCAGGTGAGTCCCGAAGTGGGGGTGGGGGATAGCGCTCAGCACGTCCCCTTGTGTCTCAGGCTTTCAGCCACTGCGCCCCGAAACTACCCTGGGTGAAGGACGCTATATAAATGCAAATTGTTGTTGTTGTTATCCTAACGTTCTCCAGGTTGGCCTCCCGGATCTTGTGGCAGGTGGAAAGGGAGGGTGGCATTGTCTCGGAGGACCGTTTAACATCTCTTGAGGACCTCCAGGACCATGTGGAAGATCTTGACGAAGAGGAGAAGAAGCAGCTGACCGCTGACGTCAATGCCTTCCTGAATTACTGGCAGCCTTGCGGTCAGCAGATTGGGCATGAGTCCATATCCCACATATTCGGAGTGGTAAGATCCACACTAGCAATGGCCTCAGTCTGGGAATGAGAGGGAGGGGTCTTGTAGGAAAGCTTTTAACAACAAGAATAATTACCTTTACGTTTGCAATAGTGCCTCTCTATCTGGGAGTCCTGTAACCTATTGATTAGAGCACTCGCCTCGCAAGTGAGAAGACCCAGATTTGATTCCCGGGCAGAGTGATACCTTAGGCAAGTTTTATTACTCCACTCGCCTGTTTGCCTAGCAGTAAGTAGGAACCCAGTGGTTAGTCGATTGGAGGATTGCTTTCTGGGGGTAATAATCCCTTCAAAATCAATCAATCAATAAATAAATAATTGGGTCATTCAATCCACAACTATTTGTGGGACACTGTTGTGAGCAATTGGCTGCTGGTTTCACCCACAACTTATACAATCAATTCACTTATAATCTGTGAAGCGCTTTGAGAGACTCAACAACGTGGAATGGAACTATATCAAATGTAAGGATTATTATTATATTGTTATTATCTGTCTTTAAACCAAGCTTAAAACTGATCTCTTCGATGGGAAACTGTCACTATACCAAATACAAGGATCATTGTGATTATTATTATTATTATCATTTTCCAGATCAACTGCAATGGTTTCACGATCAGTGACCAGCGGGGGCTGCAGGCAGTGGGAGTTGGAATCTTCCCAAACCTCTGCCTTGTAAACCATGACTGCTGGCCAAACTGCACTGTCATACTGAACAACGGCAAGTAAGTGCAATGCAACACAACACAACTTACACTTGTAGTGTACAGCGTCTTTCATGTCGGGAGCACATGCTTAACAATGCTGGAAGGGCATCTCAGTTGCAGGTGGTCATCGAGATGACCAAAAATACAGTCAAATAAATTTTGCCTTGAAAAGGGGATAGAGGGAGCAAGCCAGAGAGACTCTGTCTTGTAAACCAATCTTCAGGTGCATTGGATACATATTGCGTAACTCAGTTGGTTGAAGTGACCAGATGATTTGGGATTTAAGTAGAATTACATAAATTCCACATCGCCAAAACAGGCCATTTGGTCCAAATACTCTGTGCCATTGTTTATACCCCACACAACCCCTTCATTCCCCCTCTTCTGGACCCTTCTATTCCCTCCACCCTCTTATACACTTTGAATTTCCTGTTAAATACACTTCCCCTTAAATACACAGCCTCCAGCATTCTCATCGCCCTCTGTTTAAAGAAACTACTCATTAATTTGCTTTTAGATCTGCTACTAGGTATCGTATATTTATGTCCCCTTGTTATTTTAATTCTCTGGTGGGTTAATAAAATAAGGACCATGTATTCTAATTTGTGACATTTCTTAACAGGTTTTTTAATAGGAAATGTTAATTATCATGTTCTAAAACATTGAATGCTCTGAGAGACAACTTACATTTATAGTGTGTAGAAGAAACAAAGATCTTGAACTCTACCCTCTGGGGATGGGGAGCCAGTGACTACTGGGGACTGTAAGCTGTGGGGACTGTAGGAGTCTTCCCAAATGCTTGGCAAAGCAACAGTGATAGTTGAGCAGATGATCTGGCTCATCAATCAGAAGTGTAAACATGTGCTCAACTATGTTAACCTCTGGTTCAGTATCAGTATTGTGTGCTTATCTCTGGGCTTTGTTTAAGTCTGTTGGGTAGAGATTCTTCCCATTCATCTCTTGTTAACCCAATCCACTGTGCAGCGCTCTGAGAAACTAACCTGCGAGAAGGATGGAAGTCGCTTAGGTCAGCTCTTGGGATGACACGTCTGGAGTCTATAGGGAATTAATTAATTTACAGCAGAAAGTCAATCACACCTCCCTCTGTCTACTTGTGGAAATCTGGAAATCTCTGTGTGTCTGGAATCGAATGCGCTCTCTCGCTGCCCCTATCGCATACCCTGCTTGTCTCTTTTCTGCATGTTTAAATGTAAACCACAAATAAAATATACTGATTGAGCTTCTCCTGAAGACACAGTGAGTGGTGAAAGTCACCAGCATTCCAGCAATTCAAGGGCAACCCAGGTTTTAGCTGGTTAAACTCCAGGAGTTATCCTACAACACACACTCTTGCCAGCCTGAGCCTAATAATTCCCGGGGGTTAGGTGAGCAGGGTGTGACCCTCTGGGGAGGGGATGTGGGGGAGAGGTGGAGAGAGATTGCGCACCCCATTCCAGATGAATGAGAAATTACCATTCGTAGGTGCGTGGACATACAGAACTCTTTCCAGTCGTGTTAAATTGGCTGCCACGTTTCACCTTCAAGATACACAATTTGCATTATATCCTATGAAGTGCTTTGAGGGATTCCGGGCTGGATTAAAGGCTGAAGGCCCGTCCGCTGATAGTGAAGCAGGCAGGGCTGGGGATGTGGAGCAGGCTAGTGCCTGCAGAGCGGAAGGTTAGGTTAGTGAAGTTTTAGAAGGTCGCAGGGGTAAGGAGGAGCAAGACAGTGGAGAGCTTTCAAGGTGAGGACAAGAATCCTGAACTCGAACCTCTGGGAGATGGGGAGCCAGTGAAGCCGGGTAAGGATGGAGGCTTACAGAGCTTAGTGACCAAAGTAACCCACCCACACTGAATGAAAGGTCGCAGGTTCATATGATCATGGTGAGATTACTAATCTCAGATGGTTTCACCATTAGTCTCTCCCCCTCCTCCCCACTGGGATAAGAAGGGTCAACTGGGGGAAGTCAGCACATTCAGCACAGGTTGTGAATTGAATTTCTCACTTTCTATTACATATTAAATATTTCTTAAATAGGCAACAACTCATATAATAGGTGGACGTTAAAGATCCTGCAGCACTATTCGAAAAGAGAAGGGAGTTTCTTTCTCCTTGTGTCCTTGCTGATGATCCCCCAGATAAAAATTTAGTCACTCACTTCATGATTGATTGCAGGACATTGCTGTGTGCAAAATTGGCTGTCGCATTCATGTATAAAATACAGTCTCTCTACACTTTACAGTAAAATCCTGTGAAGCGCTTTGAGACGTCTCTATCACGTGATAAAGCGCTATATCAAATGCAAGGATTATTATTACTATTTGGCATTTTGTGTTGAACTGGTCCATGACTTTTTGGTGTTTTTTCTTTACGTTGTGCAACACGGACTTTTTATTTTGTCTTTCAGTCATGACGCAGTAAAATCAATGTTTCACACTCAGATGAGGTGGGTCATGTGGTTGTCTGTAATTCAAATTTTCCTTCACTCTCCCCTACCCTTGCCACCCTCGGCCTTCCTTCTTCCCCTTCTCTCCTCCCCCTTCCTCTCTCTCCGATCCAACTCTTCCCAGTCTGAAATTAACTCAGCGTAGTCTTTTTCTGTGAGGGATGCAACGATTCATTTTGAAGCACAAATTATTTTATTATTTATTAATTATTGTTTCAGCCACTTAAGGTGCCAAACAGTTGATTGTTGTATCCCTGCCACAGAGATTCACCTCTGACCATTCACCTATCATTACTGATCATGATTGCCTTCACTCACTAACCGAATAACAATAATAATAATCCTTGCATTTGACATAGTGCCTTGTCACGGCTTCAAGATGTCTCAAAGCGCTTCACATAATATAATGTAAAGTGAATTGACTGTATATTTTGTGGGCAAAACGCGGCAGCCAATTGCACACAGCAGTGCCCCACAAACAGTCGTGGATTCAATGACCAAGTTATCATTTTTTTTTGAAGGGATTATTACACGTGGAAAAGTGATCCATCAATTGACTAATGACCATGTTCCAATTTACTGCTAGGTAAACAGAGGTGTGTGGAGTAAGAAAACTTGCCTAATGTTTCGCCCTGCCCGGGAATCGAATCTAGGTTCTCTTGCTTGTGAGGCGAGTGCTCTAACCACTAGACTACAGAACTCCACGCGAGGCAGCGAGATCCAAGGGGGAATCAGAAAAAAATTCTAATTTCACGCTTTGCGTAGTATACCCTATGAAGCGCTTTGAGATGTTCTCCTGACGTGTAATGTGCTTTACCAAATGCAAGGAAAGTTGTTATTATTAATTAATAATAAGAGAATAAACAGCCTCTGAATGAATGAATCGAATCCTAAAACATTTCCGCAATTCTGTGCCACCTTAGATCTCGAGACAGATCTTGAGCCTCCATGAAGCCCACCACCTGTTCCCTGGATCCCATCCCCACCCCTCTCCTTAAATCCCAGCTCCACCTCCTGGCCCCACTGTTTGCCGACATTATCAACCTCTACCTGTCTTCTGGCACTGTTTCTTCCCCCCTCAAAACAGCCACTATCACCCCCACCTTGAAGAAATCTTCCCTTGACCCATCACAGCTATCCAGCTACCGGCCCATCTCCAACCTCCCTTTACTATCCAAGGTCCTTGATAGAGCTGTTGCCTCCCAGCTTCACTTTTTCTTCTCCTCTCACTCTCTCTATGAACCCCTCCAATCGGGTTTCAGTGCTGCCCACAGCACGGAAACTGCTCTGGTCAAGGTCACAAACGACATCCTGACCATGTGTGACCAGGGCTCCCTCTGCCTCCTCATCCTTCTTGACCTCTCCACTACCTTTCACATCATGGACCACTCAATCCTCCTCCACCGCCTCTCCTCCCACCTCAACCTTCAAGGTTCTGTCTTTGACTGGTTCAGGTCCTACCTTTCACACAGCCTCCACTTCATCGCAGCAAATGACTTCTCCTCCAGCCCCCGCACCGTCTCGTGCGGTGTTCCTCAGGGCTCTGTCCTCGGTCTCCTCCTCTTCATCCTCTACATGCTCCCCCTTGGTGATGTCATCCGCAGACATGGGGTAAATTACAACATGTATGCGGATGACACCCAACTCTACCTCTCTGCCTCCACCCTGAACTCCAGGACTACTAAGCCAGTCATGAGATGGGTCTTGAAGGTCACAAGGGAGGGGGTGAGGCGGAGGGACTGCGGGATGGAGTTCCAGAGGGTGGGGGCAGAGTGGTGGAAGGCCCGCCAGGCAATGGTGGGGCGAGCAAGGCGGGGAATGTGAAGCAGGCTGGAGCCCGCTGAGCGGAGGGAGCGAACAGGATTACTGGCATCCTGACCGACTGCCTGTCCGACATCAAATCCTGGACGAGGGCCAACTTTCTCCAACTCAACGTCAGCAAGACTGAGGCCCTCCTGATTGGCTCGCGCCAGTGCCTCCACACCTCAGGCGTGGCAGCATCAGCCTCCACGGCTGCACATTCAACCTCACTAAGCCAGTCAGCAACCTGGGTATCCTGATTGACCCTGAACTGTCCTTTCTCCCCCACATCCGCGCCATGATCGGCACTGCCTACCACCACCTCCGCAATATTGGCAGACTCTGCCACCGCCTCACCCCTCAGGCTGCCGAAACCTTCACCCACACATTCCTCACATCAAGGCTCGATTATGGAAACTCCCTCCTCATCGGCCTTCCCAACTCTTCCCTTCACAAGCTGCAGATCATCCAAACCTCTGCAGCTCATGTACTCTCACGCACCAGGCTCCGTGACCCCATCACTCCCACCCTCGCCCGACTCCACTGGCTCTCCATCCCCAGAGGATCGAATTCAAGATCCTTGTCCTCACTTTCAAAGTCATCCATGGCCTTGCCCCCTCCTACCTCTCTGACCTGCTGACTCCCGACCAACCTGCCCACTCCTTGCGTCCAGCGGGCTCTGGTCTGCTCCATGTCTCCCGCCCGACCCGCCCTACCATCGGTGGCCAGGCTTTCAGCCTCTCTGCTCTCACACTCTGGAACTCCATCCCATGGTCCCTTCGCCTCGCTTCCTCCCTTGCCTCCTTCAAGGCGGGTCTCTAGACCCTTCTCTTCGATCGTGCCTTTCGTCTCCCTCCCACCTCTCTGCCTTCCCTCATCCCTACACCACCCCTCCCCCATGCTCGGGCCCCGACACCTGACTGTTCAGTGCTTTGGGACGTCCTCCCGATGTGAAAGGCACTCTATAAATATAATTGTGTTGTTGTTGTCTTACGGACTGAGACTGGGCAGAATTTTGTGGTTCGCTGACCCAGTGCAGTTGAGCATGAGGTCACTGCATACGAACTGGCAATGAGGCGCCAGCATCTCGCTTTGCATCAGGTCTGGCAAATGCCCACCAGTGTACAGTGTAATGCACACGTAACTCTCTCTTTCTCTCCCTCTCGATCTACCAGCCACAGTAAGTGTGTCAGCATGGCTCAGAGGTAGCACTTTCACTTCCGAGTCAGAAGGTTGTGGGTTCAAATTTTTTAACAGCGCATTAGTATCCGATCCAGCATGTTTGTTTTCCACCATTTCCTTCCCCCGTTTCCGTTGCTGTTTGGTAGCAGTTGTGTTGACGTTGATGATGATTTTCGCTCTGTGTTGGGACAGGATTGAGCTCCGGGCGATAGATAAAGTCCGAGCCGGGCAGGAGCTGACTGTCTCCTATGTGGACTTCCTGAACCTCAGCGCCGATCGGCAGAAGATACTCAAACTCCAGTATTACTTTGACTGTAACTGCGAGCACTGTGCCAAGGGCATCAAAGATGATTTGATGATGGCCGTGGTGGAGCAGGAAGGCAAAAAGGTAAAAGATTCCTCAGGCCGTGAGACGAGAGCGCTAGCAACTGAGCCAGGCTGACACAACAACAGCAACAACAAATTACAGTTGTATAGCGCTTTTTCACATCGGGAGGATGTCCCAAGGCACTGGACAGTCAAGGATGTGGGCCTGAGATGGGATCTGGAGAGGTGGAGGGCAGAGTGGGTAGGCGTAGAAGGGTGACCGCCTACCCTCATATTCTCTGAAGCGCTTTGGGATGTCTAGAAGACGTGAAAAGTACTATATCAAATTCAAGGATTATTATTATTACCCCTGGTACATAGTTGAGGAGGAGGGTCTTGAGACGTGCCTTGAAGGAGGCAGGAGAGGAACACACAAATAAGACATCAGAAGTGAAACAATGTGGGTAGGGGACTAAAGACTTTGTAGATCAGGGTGAGATGGGGAAAGCAAATCAGGTACCAAGTCCAGGTAGGTTGTGTGAATCCCAAATAGCTGTAACGCCAGCACCAGCTAGTGGAGACAGGAAGAAGTGCATTAATAATTATTCTGTCAGCACAACCTTCTGGATTTTGAGTCAATGTCCCGACCTTTGACCTAGCAGGTCCCACCTGCTTGTTCAGGTGGATGTTAAAGATCCTATGAAACTATTTGAAAAGAGAAGGGAGTTTCTCCTGGTGTCTTGGCCAACAATACCCCGAATAAAATAAATTGGTCATTCACTTCATGATTATTTGTGGGACATTGCTCTGCAAAAATTAGCTGCCACGTACACCCACAAAACACACAGTCACTGAACTTTAAGCATATTCAGTGAGGCCCTGTGGGGTGTCCTGCCGAGGTGAAAGGCACTCTACCAAATGCAAGGATTAATTATTATTAACAATGATGTTCTTGTAAAATTGCAGCTATCTGAAGAAACAGTGAAGGAGGTCACTGAATTTTCGAAGGCAGCCCTGGAGAAGGTTGACCAGCATCGATTAGAGGGGTTGTGGGCTGAGGTAAGGGGCTGTCTGTCTCAATGCTTCGGCTGATCTGTTTATTGTCACTCTCAGGATATGAAGTCCCGTAGAATAGTACTCGCCTCGCAAGAAGACCCGGGTTCGATTCCTGGGCCGGGTGAAACCTTAGGCAAGTTTCCTTACTCCACACCCTTCTGTTTACCTAGTAAGAAGTAGAATAAGAAGTAGGAACCCAGTTATTAGTCGATTGGCGGATCGCTTTCTGGGGTGTAATAATCCCTCCACCCCAAAAAAAATTGTCACTCAATCGACGACGTTTGTGGGACACTGCTGTGCGCAATTGGCTGCCGCGTTTCACCCACAAAATATAGTCAATTCACTTTACATTGTGGGGGAGTCAGACTGTCAGTTACTATGGAAATCCGCCTCCTCCCCACAATCAATGATCGATTCTTGGTGTCCCCTTCCCCATCTGTAACTGTGCTGTCTCCCACTCCATCTTTCTCAAGTGCATAACAGATTTTTCTCCTTTATTCTCTCTCACATTCTGTTTCTCCCCCTTTTTTCTCTTTCTTCTCCCTTTCTGTATTTCTTGTGCTTTCTCCTTCCTTCTCTCTCTCACTCTCTTCCTCTCTTTCTCCCTCTCTGTATATTTTTCTTGCTCTCTTCCTCTTTCTTTCACTCCCTCTGTATCCCGGTTTCTCTCCGTTTCTTTCTGTCTCAACCCCTTTTCACTCTCTTTCCCCCTCTATCTCTCTCTTTACCACTCTCTCCCCTCACCTCCTCCCTCTCCAACTTTCCCTCACACTCTCACTGTCCCCTCCTCCCCCTCTCACACTCTTTTTCTCTCTCTCCCCCCCTACTCTCTCTCTCTGCCCCCCCACCCCCCCGCCATCCCTCTGTTCTCCCTCCTCGCTGTTCTCCCTCCCCCTCTCTCAGGTAGTGAAGCTGTGTCGGGAGTGTTTGAAGAAGGAGGAGGGGGTGCTGGCTGACACACATCTGAATGTGCTGCGGGTGCTAAGCCTCCTGTCAGAGGTACTATCGTATCTGCAGCACTTTGAGGAGGCGGCGATGCATGCTGAGAGGATGGTGGAGGGTTACAAGTAGGTGCCTCAACCTGCAGAGAGACAGATACCCCGGAAACGCTGTGTCAGCCTGGCTCAGTGCTAGCATTCTCACCTCTGAGGCACAAGGCTGTGGGTACAAAACATTTTGAAGTTGACATTCCAGTGCAGCGATGGGGGTGTTGCATTGTCAGAGGCGCCGTCCTTTGGGTGATACATTAAACTCTTGGAGTGGGGAAGAGAGAGAGAGAAAGGGGGGCTTGGGAGGGAACGAGAGAGAGAGAGGAGTGGGAGGGAAAGAGAGGAAAGGAGAGGGAAAGAGGGGAGGGAGAGAGAGGGGAGGGGTGTGCCGTCCTTCAGATGAGATGTCTGCCTGTTCAGGTGGACGTTAAACGTTCTGTGAAGATGTCCTCCTGACATGAAAGGGTTATTGCTATGAAGCCTGAACTGAAAAACTTGCCATGAATCCAACAATTTAATGGCAAAAATGGTGCCACAGGCGAGGTGGAATTCTGGGTGGAATTTCTCATCTCGGGGTGGGAGGTGGGTTTGAGCCACTCCGGTGAGAATTTTAAGGATACATTTTCCTTTCAAATAGGAAACTGTACCACCCGAACAACGCCCAGCTAGGCATGGCCATGATGAGAGCAGGGGTGACCCACTGGCACGCTGGCATCATCGAAACAGGTCACGCCATGATCTGCCAAGCATACGGCATCCTGCTCGTAACCCACGGACCCACTCATGCCATCACGAAGGATCTTGAGGTAAGCCCGTCACCGCCTGTGTAAGTGCAAATACTTCATGTGCGTTATGGTCTCGCTTACATGACTCCCGTAGTGTAGTAGTTAGCACGTTCGCCTTGCAAACGAAAGGACCCGGGTTTGATTCCCAGGCAGGACGAAATCTTAGGCAAGTTTCTTATCCCATATCCCTCTGTTCACCAGCAGCAAGTAGGTTGCTAGTTGATTGGTAGAACGCTTTCCAGGGGTAATAATCCCTCCAAAAATAAATTTTGTCAATCCAAGACTGTTTGTGGGACACTGCTGTGCGTAATTGACTGTAAAATATACAGTTAATTCAGTTTGCAGTATATTCTGTGATGCGCTTTGAGATGCATCAATAACATGACAAGACCTTCTCTTGCAAGGCCACAATGCTACAGGACTCAACAAATTAAGTAATTCCTTAATTAAGAAATCCCCTTTAAGAAATCTCACAACATTGACCCGAGTGGCCTGGCCTTTTTCCCCCTACTCCTGCAGACCATGCGGGGTCAGACTGAGATGGAGCTGCGCATGTTCCAGCAGAACGAGTTTCTCTATTACCAGATGAGAGATGCAGCACTGAAGAACAAGAACATGCAGATGATGGCAGAGCCAGCAGCGGGCGAGTACGTCAAACAGCTCTTCCGCCGGAGAAAATAAGCCCAGAAATATCGCTCCCACTCCCACCCCGACTACTACTAATGCCTGGTTTTGAAACAGGAAATTTGAATGTTATTGGTGCTATTTTAGTTATTGAAGATGGAAGGGGAATAGAGGGAAACACACATTCTATCACAGCCGGACACTCTTTAAAAGAGGCATCTGGCACCCAGTTTGCGCTTTTGCTTAATACATTTCTTAATACAAATAGTTGAGCTGTCTTCCAGTTGTTCTAAGTCTCAGAGTTTCCTCATCAGCTATCTGACTGACATCTGCTTTCAGCATGGTGGAAGGACCTTTTTACAGGACAGCTTGAGACATGTCTTGATGCTCTTGAGGTTCAAGTCCAATGCCAAGTTACTCAAAGTCAACTATTTAATCCTAGTCCTTGGAGGGGGGGTGGTCTGTTAACCTTGCATGCCAAAGCCCTGTGAGATATGGTGGTCCTAGCAGGAAACAGTTACCCTAACGCACACACTTGGTATCCCCAAGTCTTGGCTCCTACCAACATGCACTAATACTTTCCAGAAATTGGAATCCTGGCGAGTCCCTCTAGGGAGGGAGTGCAAATTCCAGACACAGGGAAATTTCCATTTGTAGGTAGAATACATATACGAAACTCTGTCTGGTTTGAATGCCGTGGAGTCCTGTAGCTCAGTGGTGAGAGCACTCGCTTTGCAAGTGAGAGACCCGAGTTCAATTCCAGGCAGGGCGAAACCTTGGGCAAGTTTCCTTACTCCACACACCTAATAATAATCCCTCCAAGAAAACAAAACAATAATAAAAATGAGTCATTTTCAATCCATGACTGTTTGTGGGACATTGCTGTGCACAATTGGCTGCCGCGTTTGCCCACAAATATATAGTCAATTCACTTTACAATATATTCTGTGAAGCGCTTTGGGACATCTAGAAGATGTGAAAAGCGCTATATCAAATGCAAGGATTATTATTATTATTAATCATGGTGATGGGTTCTGACACTCCAAAACCTGGCTGCCTGAAAGCACAAGAAATCTCTGGATCAAGACCATCAAGTGTGCTGAAGAATGCATTTCTCAGAAAATTTGAGAACTGCACGTTTCTTATTAACAGTGCAAATTAATCAGGCGTGACCTGAAGATGGGGAAGGAAGGGACAAGGTAAAAGGATTGAGGGAGACTGTCTTCCAGCATTTTGGGTCTTAATTTGGTCACTTAATTCATAATTGTTTGTGAGACATTGTGTGCATTTGGCTGCTGCATTTCACCCACAAAATATAGTCAATTCATTTTACAGTATATTTTGTGAAGCACTTCGAGATGTCCCAACAACATAAGGCGCTATATCAAATGCAAGGATTGTTATTCTTATTCCATCTTTTCTGACCTTTCCCCATTTCCAGTAAAAAGGCTGAACTTTTCACAATGATTGAAAGACACTATACAAATATAAATTGTTCCATTGTTGCGTATTCAGGCATTCTTGCCCAAGGTGTGCCCATCATACAGACCATTGTGGTCATCTCACCGCATTCTCAGTCGTTTTGCAGGTTTGTGAAACAATAAGTGCAACGTCTCTGTTGCAATAGAGCTAAACGCAGCCCATGAATGAAAACAGATGGAAGTGAAAATAGACTATTTCGGAATGCCTCTGCTTCATAGTACAGCAATTGTAAGCAATTGCAAATTGAAGGACATAGTTGAAGCAAATCTTTTCTATTCCATTGTTCTACACCTCTCCATCCCCATCCAAATCTTACTAGGCACAGGAGTTACTGTCCGGTATCCAATTATCAAAAGCAATGCTACATAATAGTTATGCATATAGTTGATGCATATCAGTTAAATGAAGTACATATGTGTATACATTACTTCCCATTGTACCCTTACATGACAGCTATTTAGGCAGTATATTTTTCCTTCCCATCGCAAAAGATACAAAATAAAGCTTGCTACACTCCTCTTGTTTCACTCTACTTCCTGGTGCCTACAGCAGACAAGCCAACAGCTAGAGTTACAAGGTCCAGTCATATTTTACACATGGCAATCACATAGCTGGCTGGCTTGGAGACAGCTGTAGAAAGAGATGCTCTGAGGAGAGGGATGCAATGTTGGGACAGAGAAGCATAAACACTGTATACCCAACTGCTCCAGCAAGGTGTGAACTCCTGGCACCAGATTGAAGCTTAACACTACCTATGTCCTTCATCCATCTTCAGGGTTTGAAAATTATTTATTGTTGTATTAATACACATGAAAGCTCATCACCATGCTATACACATAAATACACACACAAAACATCACCAACACCTCAATCAGGCTACAAGATTCAAGCCTGTGGGCAATAATGCGATCTTTTCTTAAGATGAAGGGTAGAGGAAACAGCAATTACATTGGCTGGAGCAACAGTTTTTTTAAAAAAAAGTTTAGTAGAGATTTATCTTTCTAGTGTCATGGAGAAGTTACATAACTAGAGATGAGAAATTTATAATAGCAAGTTATTGCCATTTTAGCTGGTTAAACCGTACCCAATTCACACTCTAGAGTCCCCAAGTCTCAATTCCAATGTGCACCCAATACTTTCCAGAATTAGTTAAGAAGGGCAAGTCCCTCCAGAGAGAGACATGGTGCACATTTCATTCCAGACTCAGCAAAATGTTCACACCATCAGTGGTATACAAAGGTGGAACACACAATGCTTGCAATATTCTTGAAAGACACCAAAAAAAACCTAGAGCTGGGACTATTCACACTAGAAAACAAAAGTAAAGCCAAACAATTTTGGCCCTCACAGTAGTCCATTCTTGTACCTCCATACACTATGCCTTGGACAGTAGTGAGTGAAGGTGTGAATCCCATCCCACAGGATTGAAGGTGTGAATTGCCTCCCACCAGACAGGTTCACAGCACTCTAAAGAATTGTGGAGTATTGGGTTTACAGCGCTTTGGGACTTCCTCCAGATGTGAAAGGAGCTATACAAATGTAATTTGTTTAAAAAAGCTTGTTAGCACCAGCCCAGACAATGGGTCAAATGAAACGCAAAAAACTGCAGATGTTGGAAATCGGAAACAAAAACAGAAGTCGCTGGGAACACTTAGCAGGTCAGGCAGCATCTATGGAGAAAGGAATGCGAGTCAATGTTTCGGGTCCATGACAGTTCTGGTGAAGGGTTGTGGACCCGAAAAGTTGACTCACTTTCCTTTCTCCATAGATGCTGCCTGACCTGCTGAGTGTTCCCAGCAACTTCTGTTTTTGTTATGGGTCAAATGACTTCTTTCTATACTGTGGACTTTCCTATAGTTCAATGGAAGTCAGCCATTGTGTGACCCATCCCACCATGGAGGGGCACATCAATATAAGAAGCCCATCAAGGGCATTGGGACAACTGCAAGCCCTCCAACCCAAACAAGTAAAGGTCAGATCATGCACGTAATGTAGATTTTATCAGCCTACTACTGAAATAATCACATCGTGCAATAAGTGGATTTAACACTTTATTTATTACAATATTGGCATCTTTCTTTTCTTCTCCAACCCACCCACCCCACCCCTTGGTAATAAGCTATTGGCCATTCTCTGAAACAGGGTCTATAACCTTCTTGCTTATTCTCTTGTAAACGATGCCTTGAAAAGTTATTGTCTGAAACCAAAAAGCACACAAGGTTATAATCAAGTACTTTAGTAGTTTAGTCAATGGAAGACAGTGATTTATTTTATTGGTGAGCGAGGTTAGGCCTGCTCACCCACATTAAACAAATTGGACCAAATACATTCCATTTAGGGAACATGCATTGTCCTGCAGACAAGCCCCAATTCCCCACAAACTCTTCCAGGCCCCAAACTATCAAAGGACAATGCAGACCTGAACCCTGTCTTCATGACCATCTGAGCAAGTCAGGTGACCAGGTTGCCTCTCTGCAGGGCAAACCTGGCTTGAGCCTAGTGACCAAGTGCACAAGTGAGCTCTACATTATAGTATCTCGGTTTCCTCTAATGAGGGCAGATCACAATCCTCAGAATGGAAAGTGCTGGAACACCGGTCCCAGCCAACCGAGGATTGAAAGCATAGCTGTCGCTAGGAGCTCAATCTTTCCAACATGCTCCACTTATGGGTGTGATTCGGTTTTGTTTCTTTGTACCACAGGCAAATCTCAATCGGAGAACCTTTCTGGCAGTTGCTGGCTCAAGGGATAACTGACACTACACTTAATGGAAGAGAGTGATGTTCCTTTCATTGAATTATACCTCGATCTATACCTCTATCTTTAAGGACTCAAGTCACTGGTCTCAACTAGATTCCTATTTCAGCTCTTGTGGGTGTAATATTTATGTAGTGCCCAGGTGCTATAGGGGATTTGAGGAAGAACTTGGAACTGAAGGAGGGGGGGAGGGAGGAGAAAAGGTGAGAGAGTTAGTTACCACCCTTTCCACACCACATTTGTCCCTTGATCAGAGAAGTCTGTTCCTATACCCCAAACCACAGCAACCCCTTCCGTGTTGACTATTTGCGGGCGAAAGCAGCATTTTATTTTACATACACTAATGTCCCACAAACAGCATGGAATGACCAATTTTATTCTGGGGGATTGATAGCCAGGACACTGGGAGAAGTACCTTTCACTTTGAGTAGGGCCATTGGGATCTTTAATGTCCACCTGAACAGGCACAGACAAGACCTTGGTTTAATTTCTCATCCTAAGGATGAGAAGGCTAAATGCCAGAAATAAGAACATACGAATTTGCAGGCGACATCCAGTTCTTCTTCCACCATCCTGACAGTCACATGTCACGTCCCAAACTATATATTGTATCCTGAGATATTATTTCCTAACAGCAATCAATCTAATTTATTCTTGAAAGAATAGATACTTTCTGCTTCCACTGTCTCCCTTGGGAACCTGTTCGCCCACAAATATATAGTCAATTCACTTTACAGCATATTCTGTGAAACGTTTTGAGACGTCTAGAAAACGTGAAAAGCGCTAGATTAAATGCAAGGATTATAGGATTATTATTCCATACATTTACTACTAGCTCACTGAAGTAGTGTTTCCACAGATTTGTTCTGATTTTACCTCCCTTGAATCGCAACTAGTGTCCTCTGGTTCTACTGCTCAGTACAAGATAAAACAGCTCATCATGGTCTGCATTATATAGTCCCTTTAGAATCTTAAAGACTGTAATCATATCCTGCTCAACCTTCTGACGTTTAACAGGTGTCAGACTGTGTAGGAGGATGTAGAACTGAAACTTACATTAATCAGCCGATCCTCAACTAATTCTGCAACAGAAGTAATGGCTGCTGTGGTGACAACTAGTTTATTGTCACCTTCGAGTTTCATCATAGCCTGCAAACAAATAAAGTGATCAGCAGATTTAACTTTGTACAATAAAAACAAAATTTAATATAGCACCTTCACATTGTCAAGGCATTTCACAGTACTTCATAGGATTTTACTATAATGTTTAGTGCCTATTTTGTAGACCAACACAGAAGCTAATTTTTGGACAACAACATTGCACAAACATCACATAGCTGTGAAGTGAGCGACCAGTTTTATTGGGGAGGGGGGGATTATTGCCCAGGACACTAGGACAAGCTCCCTTCTCTTTTGTAACCACATAATTTTAATGTCCTGAACAGCAGACAGGACCTGTTTAACATCTCATTCAAAGGACGTCACCTTGAATAATGCAGCATTTCTCCCAGCACTGCACTTGAGTGTCAGTATAGATGGAGTTCAAAACCCTGACGTGGGGATTAAACAACAACTTGCACTTATATAATGCCCTCCATGCAGGGTAGTGTCTTAGAGCGCAGAGCCAGACTCCAAGCCGGGGGGGTGTGTGGAAGGAGGGGGATGGGGGAGGTGACCGTATGCACGGTCAAAAAGGAAGGTTTTCAGGCTGGATTTTAAAAAAAGGGAGAGAGGGGCAAGGTGGAGGGGTTGAGGGAGAGTTTTCCACAGTGGCTGAAAGTCCGACCTCCAATGGTGGAATGGAGGGTGTGAGGGACAAGCAGGAGGCTGGTGCCAGTCGAGTGGAGGCGCCTGGTGGTGGATCGGGGAGTGAGGAGGTCGAAGAAGCCAGGGAGTGAATGGATTCAAACACGAGTGTGAGCATCTTGAAGTCGATCCATTCGGTGATAGGGAGCCAGTGAAGCCTGGCCAGAACTGGTGAGGTGGGGGTACGGAGTTTGGTTTGGGTCAATATGTGGGCAGCAGAGTTCTGAATGAGCTGGATTTTTTGAATAGTGGAGCTAGGGAGACTGGCAAGGAGTGTGTTTGAGTAATCTAGGCGGGAGGTATGCACAAGGGTTTCGACTGTATTTGGGGTATGAGGTGCTCAAGCCACAGCTGATGGTAAATCGTGAAACCCGAGGAGATGGTGCAAGGGGAATTAAAGTGGAGGTTGAAATCACCCATTACGAGCAGGTGTTCAGTGCAGAGGGACAGAGATGAGAGGAGATATCAGTGAGGAAGGAGCCAGGAGGTTTGGGGGGGGCGGTAAACTAGGAGAATTTTGAGGGAGAGAGAGGTGGAATATTAGAGGGTGAGGTGCTCAAAGGAGGAGAAACAGCCAGCGGAATAGGGGGATAAGCCAAGGGAGATGAGGGCCACCTTGCCACCACATTGGTTGGGGCAGGGAGTGTGATGAATGGTGCAGCCAGGAGGGGAGGCTTCAACAAGGGAGAGGCTTCTCGCCAGAGGAGAGGCAGCTTTCTGTAAACTCAAGAATATCAATGAGCAGACATTTTAGAGGGAAATGGAGACAGGTTTGGTGGTGGTGGTGGTGGGGAAATGGAGGTGGGAGTGATATAGGGAGGATTTGAGGTTGTGGGGAAGAAATGACTGTGGAGTTTGAGGAGAGGCAAGCATTGGAGAGGATATGGATGAGGGAGGGGGAAGAGGTGTTTGGCTTTCGGAGGTGGTTGGTGCGGAGAGAATGAGTGATGGGACAGTTGGTACCGAGTGAGTGATGGGACAACAACTTACATTTATACAGTGTCTTTCAGGTCGGGAGAATGTCCCAAGGCACTAGACATTGAAAGGTTTGGATCTGAGCTTCAACTTTTCAGTAACATTACCTTGACTGTGTCTCCTGTTGGAGTTTCCATATTCATCTCTTTCCCAAGGGTAAATTCATTGACAAGGACTTGACTGCCAGTATGGATGGCAACTAGGATATCTTGTCCAGTTTGGACAATTTTAGTTGTACTTTTGAGGTCCTTGACTTTCCCAATCATCTCATCTGAGAGTCCTAAAGAAACAATCCTTGCATTTCATACAGTATTTTCATGTTGTTACAACACCTCAGAATATCTTCAAACCCTTCACAGGATTTCAATAATATGTAGTGACTATTTTGTAGGAAACCTCAAAGCATTCCTTAGAATCACTTGGGAACCAGAGCTGGGAGAGGAGGAAGTTGACGAAGGAGTGGAGGAAAAAAGGTGACCAAAAAAAGGGTGTTGGTGGGAGGAGTTTGAGTTTCTAGAAACTAGAATTTTTGGGTTAAGTCACTGCCCTGACTTAGTGGCTTTAGCAGCAGGGCAATGCTGTGTTATAATAATAATAATTACATTTGATACAGCATCTTATCACATTGTTGAGATGTCTCAAAGCACTTCACAAAATATACTGCAAAGTGAATTGACTATATATTTTTGTGAGCAAAACACAGTAGCGAATTACGCAAACAGTGTCCCATAAACAGTCGTGGATTGAATGATGAAATTATTGCTTATTTAATGCATGAATAAATATGTAGAAAGCGGCAAAAAAATACTGCAAAACACAAGAAGAGATCACAACCCATAATAGCATTGACAAGATAGGATCACCCAGTCAAGTGACTTATTGAAATCTATCCAGGACAACAGTTAGTTAAAAGGAGAAGAGAAAATAAGACAGTATTTGGCTTAATATTCCAAAAAAGGTTCTTATGAATAGAATAAAGTGAAAGACACATATGTCTACACAGTTGGCCTTGGCTTATCCATGGGTTCATCAGTCAGACTTAACAAGTGCATTAAGGCACCAAGTCATTTTCATTTCACCACCACTAACCCCCACCACACCTGCTACGAAAGGCAGTGAGGAAACCCAGTTTGAATGCACAACAGCTGTGCTCTCAAACACCAATGAGGTATTTCAGATCATTCTTGTCCTTGCTCTCAGTAGCCCAAACCCAGGATAAGTGATGAGCTTGATGCATTAGTTTTCCAGCAGATATTCCCGACATCAATTCACAGGGAGTACAATTTCTTCTGCACTTGACTTCCAGCTTCTTGCCCCCACCACCCCAAAACAAGTCATCAATTTGTGGACATCATAACATGGAATCAAGACTTGAACATACAATAAGCCTCCCAAATCTTACCCATGGCCTTCATGAATGGTACAGCATTCTCCTGGCTTTGGAGCTCATATTGGCCAGAGAAATCCATAGTAGATGTGCTGTCTGTCCAGAGAGAGAACTTACATTCACATGTCAAAATATAAATCAAAGGATTTATTGTAACTATTTTATAAGTAAATTCACAGACAGTTTGCACACAGCAAAGTCTTACAGACAACAACTTACAGTGCCCTTCACTTCAGAAAGACATCATAAGGCACTGAACAGTCAGCGTTTTGGGGGTCTGGAGGGGTGGAGGGTAGGGGATGGAATGAATGCACAATCGAAGAGGAAGGTCTTTAGACAGGACTTGCAAGAGGAGGGATAAGGTGGAGGGATTGTGGGATAAAGTTCCAGAGTATGGCGGCAGAGATGCTGAATGTCTGACCACCAATGGTTGGGATGGTAAGTGCGAGGGACCTGAAGCTGGCAGGTGTCTGCCAGCAGAGGGATTGGACAGGCTGATATGGGGTTAGGAGGTCGGAGGAGCAAGACGGTGTAGGGCTTTGAATGTGAGAATGAGGGTTTTGTACCAGACAGCCATGAAGTGAGTGACCAATTTTATGTGGGGATTGTTGGCTAAGACCACTGTGAGAAACTCCCTTCTCTTTATGAATAGCACCATGGGATCTTTTAACATCCACCCAAGCAGGTAGACAGGATCTCAGTTTAACATCTCATCTGGAAAACAGCACCTCCAACAATGCCCTAGAGCATCAACCGAGACTGTGAGCTCAAAGCCCCGTGGTGGAACTTGAATCCACAATCTTCTGACTCCAAGGTAAGAGCACAATCTGCTGAGCTAGGCTGCCACCATAAAAAGGCTTGGTATATAGGCCTTAAAAACAGACTCAAGCCTTAAATACATTTTGTAGCCACTCTTAAAGTCATTCAGAAATTTAGAAAAGGCAGGAGAGTTTGTAATTAAACTAAAAAGTAGATTTTGTGGAAACAGTATGGAATCAAATTCTGTTACAAATCACAGCTAGATTATGAAATTGCTCAAATCTTCATCAAACAAATAATGACAAACAAGAAGCTGAGATTTTTGTTCAAAAACAGAGAAAATATTTTACTCACACCTTCAACAGAAACACAGAATAATGGGAGAAGATTGAAGGAGACAATTTATAGGAAGCCCAATGACAATCCCAGGAGCAATATTGTAGCAGAGGTTTTTAATTGAAAGTGTTCTGTTTCCAATTTGATGTAATGGAAGCTAACTAGATGAGTTTATGAGTTCTGATTATCTCAGTACATTCTGCAGCTGAAAAGGTAACGGACTGAATTGAAGCATTTTCTTTTTCTGCTGCACTCAGACTGTGCTGTCTTCAGACTGTTATTTCACTAGGGCCTGGCTTCTCAATGTGCAGGGTAATCACAAAGTCTTCTTACCCTCCTATTACAAAACACTGATATGAGACTACAGAGGAAATGAAACAAGTTGTCAGAGATGCATTTTGGCTCATCACACCATCATGTTTCAGAAGATGTCATACCGAACATGGTGATAGATCATTATCTGCTATGAAAATGATTGCGCTCACTCACACCAATTCTCTGGACATCTGGATGTCTAAATACAGTTAAACTTATAATAAATATAATACTTGCAATTGATATAGCACCTTATGTTGTTGAGACATCTGGACAGAATACTATATATTGTAAAGTGAATTAACTGTTTTGTGGGTAAACACAGCAGCCAATTGCACACAGCAGTCTCCCACAAACAGTCGTTGATTGAGTGTCCAAATTCTTTTTTGGGGGAATTACGACGAACAACTAGATTCCTACTTACTCCTGGGTAAACAGAGGCATGTGGAGTAAGGTTTTTTTTGCCTAAGGTTTTGGGACATCCATCCAGTAACCGAAAGACCTGGGTTCAATTCCCGGCAGAGTGAAATGTTGGGCAAGTTTCCTTACTCCACACAACCTCTGTTTACCTAGCAGTAAGCAGGAACCTGGTTGTTAATTAATTGCTAGATCACTTTTTCAGGGGTAATAATTTCTTAAAAAAATAAATGGGTCACTTCAATCCATGATTGTTTTTGGGACACAGCTGTGCACAATTGGCTAGTGCGATTCACCCACAAAATATACAGTCAATTCACTTTACAGTAAATTCTTTGATTGCATTGAGATGTCTCAAAGACAGGATAAGACTATATCAAATGCAAGGATTATTACTAACGGCAGTGTGGCATGATGCCAAGCTGGAAAGGAGAAGTGGTGACTGAAGGCACAGTTCAAGAACCAAGTCTTCAGGTGTGATTTGAAAACAGGCATCTATGAAGATGGAGACAAGCCAAAGGGATTGAGACAGGGAGTTTGAGATTCGGGGCACAGTGGCTGGCAATGGTGGAGCAGATGGTCATGTAGCAGATCTGTGCCAGTTGAGCAAGGGTGCCGGGTAGAGGAGTGCGGTGTGAGCAGAACAGAGAGGTAAGGAGTTGCCAGGGCCTGACAACCAATTTTCCCCCCACAAAAAAGAAAAATAGACAAGTGAGGGAGAAGGGAACCGAAGGGTATCGGAGGGAGTAAGGAGTGGGCGGATGCTGATGTGGAGTATTAACACCAACACAGATGGGTTGGGCTGAGTGGCCTGTTTCTGTGCTCTATGGATATGTAAATTTTGTTACAAGTTGAAAATGCACTGTGTTATCTCAAAGGGCTAAGGAAAGGGAACAACCACCTGTGTGTCAGGAAAAAAATCAGTTTATTGTATTTTAGTTTGTTGTACAATAAGCCACACATTAACAACTGCACACGGCACTTTGCTCTAAATTCAGCTGATCCTTTTGCTGATGCTCTTGTAAACGATATCTCCGGCAGTCATTGTCTGGAACGAGATAACAAAAAAACTCAATCTGACCATTCCCTTTGCTGAGCGGACACAGGCCAACTACACCTCCTATGCTTTATTCATCCTAACTTAGAACAGTCCAAGTCCCACAGTGCTTATTGGCAGAAAGGCTTTCAGCGACAGCGTTTTGCTCTCTGGAACTCCATTCCGAAGTGCCTCCGATTCCCTCCCTTCGGACGTCCTCCTTACGTGAAAGGCGCTATACAAATGTAATTTTGTCGTTGCAAGGTATGTCTTGAAACGCATTTCAGTCATCTTTCCTCTCCTCACCACCCAGCCTACCCCCCACCCAGAGTCGGTCCTCAGCCAGAATTGTCTAGCGCTTTGGGACATCCTCCCTATATGAAAGGCGCTCACCAAGTGTAAATTGTATTGCATTGTAAATCAGACACATGTCAATCCTTAGCAAATTCAGCTGCACTGATACAGACGTCTATTCAGCTTGTATTCTTTGTGTGTGCTGCAGCAACTAGTTTACTGTTGATCTCAGCAGTGTTACATTGAAATTCAGCTTGTGATAAATCAACAAAGTTGACCAAAAGCATGGTCAAAGAGGAAAGACAGCATCAAAAAAAAAAGCTGGATTTAAAACACTAACAAAATCTGCATGCTGCAAAACGGCAAGAAAACAAAGTAAGTTTCAACCCAGGTAAAATGAATTTCTCCCCCTTAATTTAGCTTGCTCAGTGACCCCCATTAGACACATTTCACGTGCTGACAATCCGCCACGAGATGGGTGACCTTGGTCAAAGCTCTCAATCACGAGACCCACAACCACCCCCAGTTACAGCAACTTACGCTAATCAGTTTGTCTCCCAGCAGTTCGGTAACTGAGCTCATCTCTTTCATTTTGCCGATCAGTTTATTGCCTTCAAGGGTGATTATTGCCTGGTTAAGGAAAAAGATGATCCATCATTAGTCCTTCAAACAAGAGGACCCAGTTGAGTAAAATAATGCTTGCATTTGGTACAGCTCGTTATCACAGATCCATAAAAGCTACAGCTCAGAAACAGGCCATTTAGCCTATCCAGTCTAGCCAGTATTTATAATCCACATCCTAGATCAGATCCCTAGTCCCATAAACTCGTCTTTTTGTCCATATCTTCTGCATAACTATTATTATAATAATCCATACATTTAATATAGCGCCTTATTACATCATTAGGATGTCTCAAAGCGCTTCACAGAATATACCGTAAAATTAATTGACTGCGTATTTTGTGGGCAAAAGGAGGCAACCAATTGCACACAAATTGTTTTTAATTATTTTTTGAAGAGATTACTGCCGGAAAGCGATCCGCCAATCAACTACGAACGGGGTTCCTACTTATAGCTAGGTAAAGAGGCGTGTGGAGTAAGCAAACTTGGCTAAGGTTTCATCTTGCCCAGGAATCGAACTCGGATCCTCTCGCTTGCGAGGCAAGTGCTCTAACCACTACGCTACAGGACTTATGTTATTGTCTCTTAACTACGTGGCTAGTCATTTTTTTTGAATGCGCACATGGTTGCCACCGCAACAACTGACTGGCAGAGAATTCCACCATTCACCACTCTGTGAAAAAGTTCCTTCTAATCTGACATGGTCACCTGAGACCATAAGATTTAAAGTCTCCCTATCACGTGGGCTTCAATCCACAACCTTTGGATCATTGGTGAGTGATATAAAACTGAGCCGAGCTAACAGGAAGCTAATCCACATGGCGTGGCCCATGGAATGAGTTACCTTGATCTTCTGTCCAGTGTAGGTTTGAATGTCAGTCTCTTTGCCCAGAGTGAATTCATTGGTGTGCACATCGCTGCCAACTTTGGTCACTATTTTGAAATGGTCTCCGTTTTGGACAATTTCAGAAACTCTGCTGATGTCTTTGCTTCTCTTAAGCATCTCATCTGAGAGACCTAGAAATGATTAAAGGTCATAATAATACTAATAATAATCCTTCCATGTTATACAGCACCTTTCATGTCAGGAGGACATATCAAAGTGCATCACAGGATTACTGTGAAGCATAGTGACTGTGTATTCTGTAAGCAAATGCACAGCAGTGTCTCGCAAACAATCATGAAGTTAATAAAAATAATAATCCTCGCATTTAGTACGGCCAATTTCATATCCCACGCAGACTTCCCAAGCAGCCCGGTATCTCAGGCACACACACTATTCGTGATGCTAATAATAATAATAATCCTTGCATTTGATATACTCCTTTCACTTCAAACTGCCTCAGAGCGCTTCAGAGTTTACTGTAACATTTATGTGTAGGCAAACAAGGCAGACAATTTGCAGCAATTAATGTCTCAAACAGCCACAAAGTTGATTGATAAATTTTATTCAGGGATTATTAGCTGGGACACCGGGAGAACCTTGATAATAATAATAATCCTTGCATTTGATATAGCGCTTTTCACGTCGGGAGAACGTCCCAAAGTGCTTCACAGAACACACTGTAAAGTGAATTGACTGTATTTGTGGGCAAACGCGGCAGCCAATTGCGCACAGCAATGTCCCACAAACAGTCGTAGATTGAAAATGACCAATTTATTATTGTTTTTGGAAGGATTATTATTAGGCGTGTGGAGTAAGGAAACTTGCCCAAGATTTCGCCCTGCCTGGAATTGAACTCGGGTCTCTTGCTTGCAAAGCGAGTGCTCTAACCACTGAGCTACAGGACTCCACAAACCTTCTTTCTCTTTTTAAATGGTGCCACCTGAACAGATGGGTAGGAACACATTTTAATGTCTCATCCAACAAAGCAGTGCTCCTCCATCAACTTATCTCCCCTCCCCCCCAGTACTACATTTGAGTGGCAGTTTAGACTACGGTTGGGCAATACCTTAAGACTTGGTCTTTAACCTATCTCTCGGTTTCAATTTGCAGAAATATCTCACACACACTCAGGCACTTGTAGGTCAAAAATTGGCAAGAGGCAGAATAACAATACCTCACCATATGCACACCCACAGTTCCCACCCACAGCTCCCCACCCGCACACACGCACCCCCAACCCCATATGCACACCCACACAGAGTGTACAGAATTACTGCATTTCAAGGAGATTAGCTCACCGATAGCTTTCATAAAGGGCTCAAAGTTCTCCTGGCTTTCCAGCTCATACTTCCCAGTGAAGGACACGACTGACATTCTTTCTCTCTGTCTGATGGAGTAGAAGGTCTCTTCCCAACTTACTGCTCTCCTTTAAAGGGATTGCAGCACCTTCATGTGATAAGTGGGCCCATTGTTATATGACCCTTATTCAATTATTAACTTATTATACAAGGTAATTGCCTTAGTGCTTACACAGCAATGCTCTTATACCCTAACCTCAGACGTGTCTCCTCTCCTGAAGGTGCTGAGTCGATAATAATAATAATCCTTGCAATTGGTACAGCAAGGATTGACTGAACAGTCAGACAGGGAGTCAGTTTAATGTTTCCACCTGAAGGATGGCACCTCCAGCAATGCAGCATCACACTATCCAAGCACTGCATTTGAATGTTTTCCTTTCACGTCGGGAAGACGTCCAAAGCACTTAACAAGATTTAGTATGAGGTGCAGTTACTGTGTATTTGTTGGAGAACATAGCAGTCAGTTTGCACGCACTCTCCACCTCTCAAAGCCAGTCAGGAACCTTGGTGTTCTGTTTGACCCTGAGTTGTCCTTTCTCCCTCATATCCGCGCCACAACTGGCACCGCCTTCCATTACCTCCGGAATATCGCCAGACTACGGCACTACCTCACCCCTCACGCTGCTTAAACTCTGGTCCACGCCTTTATCATCTCAAGGCTGGACTATGGGAACTCTCTCCTCGCCGGCCTTCCCGGCACCTCCCTCCACAAGCTGCAGGTCATTCAGAACTCTGCAGCTCGTGTACTGTCCCGCACCAGGCTTCGGGACCACATCACTCCCACCCTCGCTCGCCTCCACTGGCTCCCCATCCCCCAGAGGATCGAATTCAAGATCCTCATCCTCACCTACAAGACCATTCACGGCCTTGCTCCCTCCTACCTCTCCGACCTACTATCCCCCTACCTGCCTGCCCGTACCCTCCGTTCCTCCGGCTCCGGTCTGCTCCACATCCCCCGCCCCAACCGCCCTACCATCGGTGCCCGGGCTCTCAGCCCCGAGGCTCTGGAACTCCATCCCCCAGTGCCTTCGCCGCTTCCTCCCTTTCCTCCTTCAAGGCCGGTCTCAAGACCTTTCTCTTTGACCGTGCCTTCAGCTCCCCTCTCGACTCTCTACCCCCTCCTCGCTCCCTCCCTTTCCCTCCCCTCACCCTGACCATTTCCCCCCTGCTCGGGTCCTGACCCAACTGTACAGCGCCTTGGGACGTCCTCCCGACGTGAAAGGCGCTCTATAAATGGACTCTTGTTGTTGTTGTTGATGGAGTAGAAGGCCCCTTTCCAAATTACTGCTCTCCTTTCAAGGCATTGCAGCACCTTCATGTGATAAGTGGGCCCATTGTTATATGACTCTTATTCAATTATTAACTCATTATACAAGGTAATTGCCTTAGTGCTTACTCAGCAATGCGCTTGTACCCTAACCTCAGATGTGTCTCCTCTCCTGAAGGTGCTGAGTCTATGATAATAATAATGATAATCCTCACATTTAGTACAGCAAGGATTGACTGAACAGCAGACAGAAAGTCAGTTTAATGTCTCCATCTGAAGGATTGCACCTCCGTCCATGCAGCACTCCCCCCATCACACTGCTCCAGCACTGGATTTGAGTGTCATCGTTCCACATTGGGAGGACACCCCAAAGTGTTTCACAGGATTTACTGTGTATTGTGGGCAAATACAGCAGTGAGTTTGCACACACCAATGTCCCGCAGACAGCCATGGAGTGACTAACACATTTTATTTGGGGGATGGCCAGGACCCCAAGAAATTTCCGTTTCTTTTTGAAAGCACAATGAGATCTTTAAAGTTCTCTTGAACCATGGCTCACTTTAATGTCTCAACCGAAGGTCAGCACTTTCAACAATGCAGCTCACCCCAGCACTGCATTGGAGTGTCAGCGTAGACTATGTGAGTTCAAGTTCTGATATTCTGTTATAATAATAATAATCCTTGCATTTGATATAGCGCTTTCCACATCTTCCAGATGTCTCAAAGCGCTTCACAGAATATGCTGTAAAGTGAATTGAATGTATATTTGTGGGCGAACCCGGAAGCCAATTGCGCACAGCAGTGTCCCACAAACAGTCGTGGACTGAAAATTAACAATATATTTATTGTTTTGTTTTGTAGGGATTATTATTAGGCGTGTGGAGTAAGGAAACTTGCCCAAGGTTTCACCCTGCCTGGAATTGAACCCAGGTGTCTCACTTGCAAGGCGATTGTTCTAACCACTGAGCTACAGGACTGTTGAGTTTGAACTCACAATCTTCTGGATCAGAGGCAATTGTGCTACCACTGACCCAAGGAGCACCTGTCAACACTTTGTTACTAACCTCAGGTGGACCACAAAGATCCCATGGCTCAACTTGAATAGAGAACGGAGTTTCTCCCAGTATCCTGGCCAACAATCCCCCACATAAAATGGGCCATTCATTTTGTGGGTGTTTGTGGGACATTGGGTGTGTGCAGTTTGGCTGCCCTGTTTGCTCACAAAAATACACAGTCACATCACTTTCTCGTGAAGAGCTTTGAGATATCTCGACAAGGTGATAAGGTGCTCATGTACAAAGATTATTATTATATTATTATGACCTGAGTATTCTTTGTTTGAGGGAGTTGAGGGAATGGTGACTGTCAATCCCTCAACTCCCTTCCTCTCTCCTTTTGCCTCGCCCCGTCTCTTCCTATTTTCAGGTCTCGGCTGAAGACCTTTCTTTTCGACTGTGCCTTTGGTCACCTCCTTCCCCTGGCTCGGCCCCAGGATCCATTACTGTGAAGTGCTCTGAGACGCCGTCCGGCATGGAGGGCGCTATATAAATCCAAGTTGTTGTTGTTGTTGACAGTCAGGCTCATCAATGCTTCATTGCTGAGACCAATGTAACCCTCAATTACATGCCTCCATAACATGCATACACACGTGCAACAACAGCAGCAGCAAATTACATTTGTATAGCACCTTTCACCTTGGACAGTCAGGGATTTGGACCCAAGCTGGAGTTGGGGTCAATAGAGATGGAGGATATATTATATAGATATATTATATAATTCCCAGCAAACGCATATTCCCTTGAGAAATAAAAATTCCACGGGAAAAGTGGTTCAACCATGGCTAACTAGAGAAGTTAAAGAAAGTATAAAGTTAAAAGAAGAGGCTTATAATATTGCCAAAAAAAAGCTGTAAACCTGAGGATTGGGAGGGCTTTAGAAATGAGCAAAAGATAACCAAGAAACTGATTCAGAGAGAGAGAATGGAATATGAGAGTAAACTAGCTAGAGATATAATGATAGACAGAGCTTTCACAAGTATATAAAGAGGAAGAGATTAACAAAAATAAATGTGAGTCCCTTATAGGCACAGACAGGAGAAATTATAATGGGGAATAAAGAAATGGCAGTCACTAAACAAATATTTTGCTTCTGTCGGATGGATACTAAAAACTTACCAAAAATAGTGGGGAACTTCAAGAAATTAATATCAGTAAAGTAATAGTACTAGAGAAATTGATGGGACTAAAATCTGATAAATCCCCTGAACCTGATGGGCTGCATCCTAGGGTTTTAAAAGAGGTAGCTGTAGAGATAGTGGATACATTGCTTTTGATCTTCCAAAATTCCCTGGATTCTAGAACGGTTCCCGTTGATTGGAAGGTCGCAAAAGTAACACCACTATTTAAGAAGGGTGGGAGAGAAAAAATGGGGAACTATAGACCAATTAGCCTGACATTGGTTATAGTCTATAATTAGGGACATCATAGTGGGGCACTTAGAAAGTCATAATATGATTAGGCAGAGTCAACAGTCTTACGAAAGGGAAATCATGTTTAATAAATCTTTTAGAGTTTTTTGAAGATGTAACCAGAAGGTTAGATAGGGGGATCCAATGGATATAGTGTAGTTCGATTTTCAGAAGGCATTCGACAAGGTGCCACATAAAAGGTTGTTACACAAAATTAGAGCTCATGGAATCAAGGGTAATATATTAGCATGGATCGAAGAGTGGTTAGCAGGCAGAAAACAGAGAGTAGGAAAAAACGGGTCCTTCTCAGATTGGTAGGTTGTGACTAGTGGAGTGCCACAAGGATCAGTGCTTGGGCCTCAACTGTTTACAAACTACATCGTTGATTTAGATGAGGAAATAGAGCTTAACGTATCTAAATTTGCAGACGATACAAAGCCAGGTGGGAAAGTAAGCTGTGAGGAGGACACAAAGAGGATGCAAAGGGATATAGACAGGTTAAGTGAGTGGGCAAGAAGGTGGCAAATGGAGTATAATGTGGGGAAGTGTGAAGTTATTCACCTAGGTAGAAAAAATAGAAAAGCAGATTATTTTCTAGAGGGGAAGAGACGAGGTAGTGTTAGTATTCAGAGAGATTTAGGTGTCATTGTACACCAATCACAGAAATTTAGTATACAGGTACAGCAAGCAATTAGAAAGGCTAATAGCATGTTAGCGTTTATTGCAAAGCGGTTAGAGTACAAGAGTAGGGAAGTCTTGCTGCAATTGTATAGGGCCTTGGTGAGACCACACCTAAAGTATTGTGTGCAGCTTTGGTCTCCTTATCAAAGAAAGGATATACTTGCCTTAGAGGGGGTGCAACGTACGTTCACTAGGTTGGTTCCTGGGATGAGGGGGTTGACCTACAAGTAGAGGTTGAGTAAACTAGGCCTATATTCTCTAGAATATAGAAGAATTAGGAATGATCTTATAGAAACCTATAAGATTCTTAAGGTCTTGACAGGGTAGATATTGTGAGACTGTCTCCCCTGGTTGGAGAATCTAAAACGAGGGGTCATAGTCTCAGGATTAAATGTCAGCCTTTTAGAACTGAGTTGAGGAAACATTTCTTCACTCAGAGGGTAGTGAATTTATGGAATTCTCTACCCCAGAAGGCTGTGGATTCTCAGTTATTGAACGTATTCAAGACTGAGATCAATAGATTTTTAAAAACTAAAGGGATTAAGGGATATGGGGATAGGGCAGATAAAGGGAATTAAGTTAGAAGATCAGCCATGATCTTATTAAATGGCAGGGTAGACTCGAGGGGCCGAATGGCCTACTCCTGCTCCTATTTCTTAGGTTCTTATAGGGAAGGTAGGGTAGGAGGGTGACCGAAGGTACGTTCAAAGAGGGTCTTGAGATGGGCCTTGAAGGAGGCAAGGGAGGGAGTGAGGCAATGGGACTCTGGGAGATGGGTGGGGGCCGAGAGGTTGAAGGCCCGACCGACGATGGCGGGGCGCGCCGGGCGCGGGACGTGGAGCAGGCTGTAGCCTGCTGAGTGGAAGGGTGGACAGATTGATATGGGGTCAGCAGATCACAGAGGTAGGGAGGAGCAAGGCCTTGGAGGGCCTTGAAGGCGAGCACAAGGATTTTAAACTCTATCCTCTGGGAGTTGAGAAGCCAGTGGAGCCGGGCGAGGGTGGGGGTGATGGGGACAAGGAGCCTGGCGCAGGAGAGGACACGAGCTGCCGAGTTCTGAATGATCTTCAGCTTGTGGAGGGAAGTGTTGGGAAGGCCAACAAGCAGGGAGTTGGCGTGCATGCATAGTGGTTGTCAGTGCTTTCCTTTGGATGTGATGTTAAACCAAGCTCATGTCTACAGGTTGTGGCACTAGTCGACAGAGAAGAGAGTATTTCCTGTTGTTCTGGCCAACAGCTAAAATTGGTCATTCAATGGGACTCTGCGAGATGGGTGGGGGCAGAGAGCCCAGATGGTGTTGTAGGGTGACAGTTCAGTGATGACCAAATCCACCTGCAGCACTTTGAGAAATTTTGATGTGGTGTGTTCTGTATCAAATACAAGGGTTATTTTTATAATAACAGGTGTCAGCCTGGCAAGTGTAGCATTCTTGCTCTTGAGTCAGAAGGTTGTGGGGTTCAAGCCCCCACATCGGGACTTTGAACTCACTGTCTAGACTGATGCACCAATGTGCTGTGCTGGGGATGCAGGAGCGGCATTGTTGGAGGTGCCGTCTATAGTTGAGACAGTAAATCGTTCAGAAGGACATTAACAAGCCCATAGCACTCTTCAAAAAGTGAAGAGAGTTTATTCGAGTGCTCTGGCCAACAATTCCCCAGGTAAAATTGGTCATTCACTTCATGGCCGGCTGTGAGACATTGCTGTGCTCTCTCACCTCCAAACATACACTCACTCCACTTTACAATAAATTCTCTGAAGTAACATAAAAGGCATCATACCAAATACAGGAATTATTACCGTCTTATATTATTCATCTATACGATTTGAGTTGAGTTGTTGGGACTAGCATAGACAAGACAAGCAATTTGGAGAGCTTCACAAGGCTCATCAGATTCATCAGTGCAAAGCTTAGGAAAAACAACACTGGTCACACATTGTACATTAGTCTCTGGTTTATTACATAGATGGAGGTGTGGGAGAATGAGAGATGTGATATAAGCACTGGTGATAATTATCATATCAACCAGATATGTGGTCAAAGGTGATTGTGGAAGCCAAACAACCCACTCCCACCCTCTACCAATCCTAAGGTCATTGATAACGATTGACTCTATGGACTGCTTTGAGCAATATGATAATATTACATATCATATTTCCACTTTCCTCCACATCCTCCACATTTCGCCCACAAATATACAGTCAATTCACTTTACAGTCTATTTATTCTATGAAGCGCTTTGAGATGTCGAGGAGACGTGAAAAGCACTATATCAAATGCAAGGATTGTTATTATACATAATGCAGTAAAATAAGACGCAAAAAATCCACCAGTCAGAGTTCAGCAGATCTTCTTGCTCTGCCGCGTGTACACAATGTTTCCGATTGTCATTGTCTGAAACAAAAAGTTAATGTTTACTTGCAGTGCTCTGGGACGCTCTCCTGCCTGAAAATTGCTATAGAAATGCAAGTTGTTGTTGTTGTTGTGCAGTCCTATAGCGTATTGGTAAAAGAACTCGCCTTGCAAGTGAGAGGAACTGGGTTCATTCCTGGGCAGGGCGAAACTTAGGGAAGTGTCCTTACTCCACACGCATCTAGCAGTAAGTTGGAACTCGGTTGTTGGTCGATTGAAAGGTTGTTTTCTGGGTTAACAATCGTTTCAAATTAAAAAATAATAAATTGGTGATTCAATCTACGACAAGTTACGGGACACTACTGTGTGCAATTGGGCTGCCAAATTTCCCCCACAAAATATACAGTTAATTCACTTTACAGTCTATTCTGTGAAGCGGTTTGAGATGAATCAATGATTTGATAGGGCGCTGTATTAAATGCAAGGATTATTATTATTGTCTTATGGAACCCTCTATAAACACCTTCCTCCGCTACAAACCTGCCATAAATATAGTTTTTGGCGCGGGCCTCTGCCCCTCACTGTGGGTGGGGGCAGCTTCGGACGCACAAGGCGCGGTGTGGCGCAAGCAGCAAATGGGCGTGTGTGTGTGCTTGTGTGTCTGTGTGTGTGTGTGTGTCTGTGTGTGTCATTCTCTGTGTGTGTGTGTGTGTCGTTCTCTGTGTGTGTGTCTCTATGTGTGTGTCTGTGTGTGTCTGTGTGTGTGTCATTCTCTGTGTGTGTGTGTGTGTGTGTGTCTCTGTGTGTGTGTGTTTTTGTGTGTGTGTTTTTATGTATCTGTGTGTGTGTGTCTGTGTGTGTGTGTCTTTTTCTGTGTGTGTGCGTGTGTGTGTCTCTGTGTGTGTATCTTTTTCTGTGTGTGTTTGTGTGTCTGTGTGTATGTGTGTGTGTGTCTTTCTCTGTGTTTGCGTGTGTGTCTGTGTGTCTTTCTGTGTGTGTGTCTCTCTCTCTCTGTGTCTCTGTGTGTGTGTGTGTTTCTGCCTCTCTGGGTATGTGTGCGGTGCTGAACCCTGAGAGCTCCTGTAGCCTCGCTGGTGTCCCCCCCTCCTGCCCACCTAAAAAAATGAAAACCCAGTTTTTGTTAAAGAAGCAACTAACATTTTTTTTGCAACAATCTAATATGTGTTATTTCCTCATGTTTTCTTTTATCAATAAAGTGAAAAAACGTAGGTTGGCATTAAAATGTACTTCAAGAGCACAAATCAACTCCCTGCCATTTTCCGCAAAATTTGTTTGGCAATTTTCGGCAAATATTTCCACACTTTTCTATTGGCCCAGGCCATGAGTAAAAGTTACTATTGCAACAACACAACAATAAAAGGAATAGTTTTACCTTACCCTCTGTTGATGTGTTATTAAGAAGATAAGAAAACTGGATGAGAAAAGACCAAGGTCCATCTAGTTCACCTTCCACCTTCCTGGCGGTCACATTTCCTGAACTACCTATGTACTATATCCTATAATATTATTTCTTAAGAGAAAACTATCTAATCTGTGTTTGAAAGAATCAACACTTCCTGCTTCAACCTCTGGAATTCTATCCCCCAGTTACTCCGCCTCGATCCCTCCTTAGCCTCCTTCAAGTCCCGCCCTCAAGACCCTCCTCTTCCCCTCCCTTCCCTTACCCCCCAACCCCTGCTCAGGTTTGAAATGCTGTACTCTGTCCAGCACCTTGGGACGTCCTCCCAACGTGAAAGGCGCTGTACAAATATAATCTTGTTGTTGTTGTTGTTCAACCGTCTCCCTAGGGAGCCTGTTCCTACAGGTTTACTATTTTCAGTGAGCGAACTCCTACTTAAATAGTGTTTGCGTAGATTTGTTCTGAATTTTCCCCCTTCAATCGCAGGCTGGGGCCTCTGGTTTTACTACTCTGGACAAGTTGAAACAGCCTGTCATGATCTGTATAGTCTTGCCCTTTAGAATCTCAAAGACAGCAATCATATCCCCTCTCAATCTTCTCTTACCAGTGTGTATATGCCCAATTTACTTAGTCACTCCTCATAGTCCAGTCCTTCTATTCCCTCAATCATTTTGTTTTCCCTCCTCTGTATCTTCTTGATTTCTCCAATATCTTTTTTGTACTGCGGCGACCAGAACTGTACACAGTACTCTAAGTATGGTCTCACCAATTATTTATACAGTGGCAGGATTTATACAGTGGCACTTCAATTTATTGTCAATCAGGACCCCCAGGACCTTTTCATTTTCCATACATATTATTTTCCTTCCGTTCAAATAATAATCCCTTCCACGATACTTTACATTTCTCCACATTGAATTTCATCTCCAACCAATCTTCCCAATTCCCAAGTATGTTCAAATTCTCCTGTAACCTATCTTGTTCAGCTCTGCAATTTACCACCTTCATTAGTTTGGTGTCATCTGCAAACTTAACCACTGTGCTTGCGACTCCTAGTTCCAGATGATTTATGAAAATATTAAACAAAAGAGATCCCAAAACAGACGCTTGTGGAACTCCATTGGTAACATTTTCCCAGTCTGATGACATTCCCTGAACCACCATCCTCTGGGTTGTTGCAGTCAACCAGTTGCATAGCCAATGTAATATACCTCCACTGATTCCCGCTTTCTTTACTTTCAGTACAGCCTCTCAAGGCGAACTGCACAAAAGGCCTTACTGAAATCCAGATTTTTAACATCCACAGCCTTACCTTACCCTTATCAAGCTCCCTTGTCACACCGTCAAAGAAAACCAGTAAATTAGATTGCCAAGACCACGCCTTTGTGAACTGGTCGTCTGCTGATGGTGGGGCAGAGAAGCCGGGGGGGAGGGGGAGAGGTGGTGTAATTAAGAACACAGGATGGGGTAAGGAGGTGGAGGCATTCCATCCATTCAAAGGTTGAAGTATTTGAAACCAGAAATAGAATCAACAGAGACTTACATTCACCAGCCTATCTCCAGTCAGCTCTGTGATGGAGGTTACATTTTCCGCCTTCAACACAAGTTTATTGGTCCCTTCAAGGTTGATTATAGCCTAGATAACAACAAAAACAAATTACATTTGTATCGTGCCTTTCACATTGGGAGGATGTCCCAAGGCGCTGACAAGACACAAGATAATTAGGAAGGACGGCAGGCCTCATTCCGGGTATTTGGTGAAATGGCGCTGGAACTCCATATCCAGTTGTAAAAACAATGACGACCAATTAAATCTTAAAATTAACTTGTTCTTATACAGCGTTCTTCAAGCAGAGCGCACCTTGGAGCGATTAACAGTGGTGGAGTCTGATGCAGAGCCAGGGAAAGAGGAGAAGTGACCGTAGACTGGTCTAACAGGAAAGTCTTCAGGTGCAATCTGAAGATGGGCAAGGAGGGAGCTGGAAAGGATTGAGGAGAAGAGATCCAGTGTTTCGGAAGCGTAGTGACTAAAAGCTGCTGATGGTGGAGCAGAAGGAACAAGGGATGTATAGTCGGACGCAGCCGGCTGAGCAAAGGGAGCAGGTAGAGGAATGGGCTGTGAGCAGCCTGGAGAGGTAAGGCTGGTGCTAGGTCATGAAGGTGACAATCTTGAAATTGATCTGTTCAAACTGTTGTGCTGGAGAGGAGGGGCGGAGGGCAGGGGAGGCCGTCGCTTACACCCAGGCTTTAGTGACTGAGAATTGTGATATTTATTTTTCCAACTTTGAGAGAAAATTCCGTACGATTTACTGTAAAGGGCATTGACTGTGTATTTTGTAGACGAATGCGGCAGCCCCTACAAACAGTCAAAGTGAATGATTATTGTTTGTGAGAATAGTTTTTATTTGTGAGAAATTATCGAGGACACCGGGAGAAACTCCCTTCTCTTTTCGAAGAGTGCCTCAGGATTTTTAACATCTGCCTGAATAGCCAGTTTAACAGCAGCAGCAACAGCTTGCATTCATAGAGTGCCTTTCACATGAGGTAGCGTCTCGGAGGCTGAGCGCTTAATGTCTCATCGGAAGAAAATAAAAAAAGTGTGTAAAGCCAGCAATAAACTCAGAAAGCTAATTTCCAGCAATTGAAATTATGTCTGCTTGGCAAGAATCGAGTCACCGAAACCCAAGAGAGCCGGAGAGATGTTCACTACCTTCATCTTTGCACCGGTGGGAGTTTGAACGTCGGTCTCCTGGCCAACGATGAACTCGTTGGTCAGCACTTTGGTGCCTGTAGTGACCGTGATCTTGAAGTGGTTCCCGTTCTGGACGATCTCAGAGACGCTCTTGAGGTCATTGCCTTTCTCGATCATCTCGTCCGAGAGTCCTGAAAATCAGACCAAGAGGGTGGAAAGGGGCTATACAAATGTAATCTTGTTGTTGTTGGAAGGTGTCAGCCTGGCTCATTGGTAGCATGGTCGCCCCTGAGTCAGAAGGCTGTGTGTTCAAGCCCCACATTGGGATTTTGAGCTCACAATCTAGGCCAATGTTAGCCAACCGTTATAGTCGCCCAACAAAATACGTTTTATTGATTGAATATTTCTTGATTTATGAAAAGGGAAGGGAGTTGTTCCCAGTGCCCTGGCCAACAATCCCGAAATGAAATTGATCATTCATTGCTGTTTGCGGGATATTGCTGTGTGCTGTGTGCAAAATTGGCTACGGGCCTTGCCTAAACAATATACAGTCGCACCACTTTACAGTACATCCCGTGAATAGTTTTGCGAGATCTTGACGACGTGACATTTAAGGCATTTTATCAAATGCAAAGATTCTTTTTATTTACACCCCCAGTACTGCACTATAGCTTCAGCCCTGCCATAAGAGCTCAAGTCCCTATGAGGAACTTGAACCCACAACTTTCAATGCTTTCCGGTTTAGCTGGTTAGACTCCAGAAGTGCTCCAACTACAGGAGACCCCAAGCCTTGGCTTCACCTGGCCTAATACTCTCTGGAACATTGCCCGACTCCGCCACCAGCTCATCCCTCAGGCCGCTGAAACTCTTGTTCATGCCTTCATCACCTCCAGGCTTGACTATGCAAATGCCTTGCTTATCAATATTCCCAACCCTTCCCTCCACAGGCTGCAGATAATCCAGAACTCTGCAGCCCGTGTCCTCTCCCGAACTAAACTCCGTGACCCCATCTTCCCCACTCTCGCCCGACTCCATTGGATCCTTGATGAGAGCGTTTACATCATGGCCTTAATGGAAACCTGGCTCACCCCAGGTGACACCTTCCCCCTCACGGAGGCCACACCACCCGGCTACACCTCCCACCACATCCCTTGCCCCAACCGCCGTGGCGGTGGTGTAGCCCTTATCTCAAGGACACCACTCGCCCTATTCCCCTACTCCTCTGGCTCTTTCCCCTCTTTCGAGCACCTCACCCTCTCCCACCCCTCCTTCCTCTCACTCAAAATCCTCTTCCTCTACCGGCCCCCTAAAACCTCTCCCACCTTCATCTCCGATATTTCGACACTTCTTACATCTCTCTGCCTCTGCTCTGATCGCCTCATCATCCTGGGCGACTTCAACCTGCACTTCACCCCTCCTGCTCCATCTCCTCAGATTTCTCCTCCCTGCTCTCCTCGCTCAACCTCTCCCTCCACATCAACTCCCCCACTCACAGTCACGGCCACCCACTCGACTTGGTGATCACCCGGGGCCTCAGTGTCTCGGATGTCACTATCACCGACAAGGCCATCTCCGACCACCACTTCATCTCCTTCACCACCTCCACCCCCCTCCCCACCTCCACCAGACCCACCACCATCTTCTACCGCCCCTGGAAGAAGTTACCCCCACAATCCCTAACCGCTGCCTTGGAGTCCTCTGAACTCCTCTCCCTCTGGCCTTCAACCCTCACTGACCCCTCTTCTCCTCTCACCCTCCTCCACAACACCCTCTCCTCCACACTCGATACTCTTGCCCCCATCACCTCCTGTACTGTCTCCTACTCTCGCTCCTCCCCCTGGTTCACCACCCACCTCCGCTCACTGAAGAGCCAGGTGCGGGCCGCTGAACGCACCTGCGTCAAATCTGGCCTAACGGTCCACCGACAAATCTGGCTGGACCTCCTCAAAATCTACCGCTCCACTCTAGCCTTGGCCAAGTCGTCCTTCTACTCCAGGATAATCCTGGAGGCGAAGAACAACCCCAGGCTTCTGTTTTCTACCATATCCCGACTCCTCCGTCCCCCCCCCGCCACCCCGCGCAGGTCATCTCCTCCAACTTTCACTGCGAGGAGATGCTGGATTTCCTTGAATCCAAAATCAAGGGAATTCGCTCCGCGGTCACTTCCCCTCCAAAATCCACCCACCCCCCCACCCCCTCCCTCCCACACTCCGACTCCTCAGTGGTTAGAGCACTCGCTTTGCAAGTGACAGACCTGAGTTCAATTCCAGGCAGGGCGAAACCTTGGGGAAGTTTCCTTACTCCACACGCCTAATAATAATCCCTCCAAGAAAACAAAAAACAATAATTAAATTGGTCATTTTAATCTACGACTGTTTGTGGGACATTGCTGTGCGCAATTGGCTGTCGCGTTCGCCCACAAATATAGAGTCAATTCACTTTACAGTGTGTTCTGTGAAGCGCTTTGGGACGTCCTCCCGACGTGAAACGCGCTATATCAAATGCAAGGATTATTATTATTATTATTATTACCCATCCTCCCCTACACACCTTCGTACCCGTTTCCCCACCCTCTGTCACCAAACTCATCCTATCCCTGAAACCCACCACCTGCTCCCTTGACCCCACCCCCACTCCACTCCTTATTTCCCAGCTCCACCTCCTTGCCCCACATATCACAGACATCATCAACCTGTCCCTCTCCTCTGGCTCTGTTTCCATTCCCTTAAAAACTGCCACCATCACTCCCACCTTGAAAAAACCCTCCCTTGATGCGTCGCAGCTATCAAGCTACCGGCCCATCTCCAACCTCCCCTTCCTGTCCAAGGTCCTGGAACGAGTTGTCGCCTCCCAGCTGTGCTCTTTCCTCTCCACCCATTCATTATTCAAACCCCTTCAGTTGGGTTTCTGTGCTGCCCATAGCACAGAAACTGCCCTGGTCAAGGTCACCATTGACATGCTGACCATCTGTGACCAGGGCTCCCTCTGCCTCCTCGTCCTCCTCGACCTATCGGCAGCATTCGATACGGTCGACCACGCTATCCTCCTCCACCGCTTGTCCTCCCACCTCAACCTTCAAGGCCCTGTCCTTGAGTGGTTTAGGTCATACCTCTCCCACCGTCTTCACTTTGTTTCCACGAATGTTTTTTCCTCCGGCCCCCGCACTGTCTCGTGCGGTGACCCTCAGGGCTCTGTCCTCGGTCCCCTCCTCTTCACCCTCTATATGCTCCCCCTGTGGTGACATCATCCGCAGACATGGGGTTAACTTCCACATGTATGCGGATGACACCCAACTCTACCTTTCCTCCTCTACCCTCAACTCCACGACCCCCGATGTCCTGACAGCCTGCCTGTCCGACATCGAGTCCTGGACGAGAGACAACTTTCTTCAGCTCAACGTGCGCAAAACTGAGGCCCTCCTGATTGGCTCACGTCAGCGCCTCCGCACCTCAGGCGCTGACAGCATCAGCATCCAAGGCTGCACTCTCCACCTCTCAAAGCCAGTCAGGAACCTCGGGGTTCTGTTCGACCCTGAGCTGTCCTTTCTCCCTCATATCCGCGCCACAACTGGCACCGCCTTCCATCACCTCCGGAACGTCGCCAGACTACGGCACTACCTCACCCCTCACGCTGCTGAAACTCTGGTCCACGCCTTTATCACCTCAAGGCTGGACTATGGGAACTCTCTCCTCGCCGGCCTTCCCGGCCCCTCCCTCCACAAGCTGCAGGTCATTCAGAACTCTGCAGCTCGTGTACTGTCCCGCACCAGGCTTCGGGACCACATCACTCCCACCCTCGCTCACCTCCACTGGCTCCCCATCCGCCAGATGATCGAATTCAAGATCCTCCTCCTCACCTACACCTTCACGTCCTCGCTCCCTCCTACCTCTCCGACCTACTATCCCCCTACCTACCTGCTTATACCCTCCGTTCCTCTGGCTCCGGTCTGCTCCACATCCCCCGCCCCAACTGCCCTACCATTGGTGGCCGGGCCTTCAGCCTCTCAGCCCCTAGGCTCTGGAACTCTATCCCCCAGTGCCTTCGCCGCCTCCTCCCTTTCCTCCTTCAAGGCTGGTCTCAAGACCTTTCTCTTTGACCGTGCCTTCAGCTCCCCTCTCGACTCTACCCCCTCCTCACTCCCTGCCTTCCCTCCCCTCACCCTGACCATTTCCCCCCTGCTCGGGTCCTGACCCAACTGTACAGCGCCTTGGGACGTCCTCCCGACGTGAAATGCACTCTATAAATGGAATGTTGTTGTTGTTGTTCAAGGTTTGACTGAAGACCTTCCTCTTCAACCCTTCCTTTGATCATCTTCCCATCTCCACTCCCCTTGCCCTCCACCCCTTTTGATTCCAATCCCCAGCTTGAGTGCAGATCCTTCCCTCTTGAGCACCTTGGGATGTCCTCCTGATGTGAAAGCCTCTGTATAAATAGAATTTGTTGTTGATGGGTTTTCATGCAGCGGGTGGTGGGAGTGTAGAATTCACTTGCAGTGGAGACAGAGTCAATTAAAGAATTTAAAAGGCAAATAGTCATTATGCTTGATAGACAGATATCAAAGGATACAGAGAGAGGGCGTGGAGGTGAAATTGAGTTGCAAATCGGCCATGATTTTGGAAAGTACTACAACGGGCTTGATGGTCCAAATGGCCTACTCCCGTTCCTGAGTACCTATGTTTCTACAAATGTTACTGATACCTGGCTGATCAGGAATAAAAAAGGGATGAGCTTACCAAGAGCTTTCATAAATGGTCCAAAGTTGTCCTGGTTTTCCAGTTCATATTTCCCATTGAATGCCATTACTATGAATGTTTGGTCCGTGCAATGGAGCAACGAGAGGTAGCAAACCAAACTGTACTTTTCCTTTATAGAGATTCCCATATCTTGAAAAGATACAGTGCTTGGCGTGGTTTTATGACTTTGTTGAATTATTAACTCTTTTCTTATCGAATGGCGGGGCAGGCTCGAGGGGCCGAATGGCCTACTCCTGCTCCTAATTCTTATGTTCTTATGTACACGTGACTAAGTGACTCAACTGATGATTGAGGGGTGATGCAATAGAGGTGGTTAAGGTTATGAAAGGATTTGATAAGGTGGATATCGATATTTCCTGATTTTAGTTATTATCTACTAGCTGTACCTGTTACAGCTATGCTTGCGACCAAAGGATCCAATTTAATCATTTAACTCACAAACCATTTAACATGTCATAAATACTGTGTGTAGATTTTAAGCAAAACTGCCATACATGTGTGATGAGTTTGTTTAGGTCATAGCTCATCAATGATAGGAGATACCACCCCCACCCCCAAAAAACTGGCATTGACACTTCGCCAAGCAAGACCTTTCCGGTGTGGTATAAATCATGTCTCTAAGTCAATCTGTTATTGCGTTATTGGCGGACAGACACACAGACAAATATTTTTTCTTTATTAGTATAGATTACTTCTGGTGGAGAATCCAGAACAGTGGGGTATCATCTTAAAATTAGAGTTAGGCCATTTAGGAGTGAAATCAGGAAGCATTTTCTTCATGCAAAGAGTAGTGGAAATCTGGAATTCTCTCCCTTAAAAGGCTGTTGATGCTGGATCCATTCACATTTTTAAGACTGTGGTGGATAGATATTTGATAGGTCAGGGTATTAAGGGATATAATAATATATATAATAATCCTTGCATTTGATATAGCACTTTTCACGTCTTCTAGACATCTCAAAGTACTTCACACAATATACTGTAAAGTGAATTGACTATATATTTGTGGGCGAAATGGGGCAGCCAATTATGCACAGCAGTGTCCCACAAACAGTCGTGGACCAATTTTTTTTATTATTGTTTTCTTTTCTTGAGGGATTATTATCAGGCATGTGGAGTAAGGAAATCTCCCCAAGGTTTCACCCTGCCGGAAGTCGAATCCAGATCTAATGCTTCCGAGGCGAGTGCTCTAACCACTAAGCTACAGGACTCCACTGAGGACTCCACTGAGCTATTGGTAAGCTGCCCCGAGTGAAGGGCACTAAATAAATGCCAAGCAGTTGTTGTTGGTACTCAATCTCAAAGTCCTCGGCCTCGCACCTGCTCTCCCGATCATTAAAGTCCACCTTAAGACCTTTCTTTTGACCTTGCCCCTCTTTCCTCAGTTCCTCCCCTACCCCCAGCTTGGGTACGTGAAGCATAAGGTGATGTCCTCCCAACATGAAATCCGCTGTATAAATGAATATTTTTTTTTAAATATGGGACACGATAGATATGAAATAGCAGGGAAACTGAAAAATGGGAATCTGGGGGTAACAGCTATCAGCTTTAATGTTCACATGGTGATGTGAAACAATTCAACAATACTAAGAAAACAGAAGTCAAATGAAGATTTGAAAGGCTCTGATCAGTCCCATATGTGGAATATTATGAGCAGCTGTGTTCACCACACTACAAAAAATATACACGTAAGCATGGTCGAAGAGGAAGGTTTTCAGGGGAAACTTGAAGTAAAAGGGAGAGAGGGGTCAAGACGGAGGGATTGAGTGAGAGGGGTCCAGAGTTTCAGGGTGTAGTGGCTGAAAGCGGAACTTCAGATGGTGGGGGTGGAAGGTGCAATGGACAACCAGGAGGCCAGTGCTCGTCGAGCAGAGGCACTGGTTGGGGGATTGGGGAGTGAGGAGGTTGAAGAGGTAGGGAGGTGCCAGAGAGTGAAGGGATATGAACACAAGTGTGAGGATCTTGAAGTTGATTGACGGGAGCCAAGGAATATGGCTTCTGACTTGTCCACATTCAGCTGCAGGAAGCTTACACTGATCCAGATCCTGATGTCTGTCAGACACGCTAATAGAACGTCGGGGGCTTAGGAGTTGGTACTGGAGGAGGCAAAGTAGATTTGTGTGTCATCCGTATACATGACATCGAAACAGTCACTACACTTCACAACAATTTCCCATAAAGTGTTTCAATATAAGAATCATTATTATTTGGCAGCTTGGCTCAGTCGGTAGCACTTTTGCTTGAGAGTCAGAAGTTCGTGGGGTCCAAGATTTACATTGAGACTCTGAACTCACTGTCTACACCTTCATTTCAGTGCAGTGCTGGGGGGGAGTGCTCCACTGTTGAAGATGCCGTATTTTGGATGAGAAATTAAGCTGAGGTCCCCTCTGTGCCTGTTCAGATGGACATTAAAGATCCCGCAACACAATTTGAAAAGAAAACAGCAACGACAAGAACAACTTACACTTATATAGCGACCTCCACGCAGGATAGCATCTCAGAGCACTTAACGGTGGCAGAGCCTGACTCCGGGCTGGGGGGAGATGGTGGCCATGAGCACGGTTGAACAGGAAAGTTTTCAGGCAGGACTTGAAGAAGGGGGGGAGAGGGTACAAGGTGGAGGGATTGAGGGAGAGTGTTTCAGAGGTTTGGGGCATAGTGGTTGAAAGCACAACCTTCAATGGTGGGTGGAGGGTGTGAGGGATGAGCTGGAACCGGTGCCAATCGAGCAGAGGCGCCGGATGGTGGATTGGGAAGTGAGGAAGTCGGAGAGGTAGAGTGGTGCCAGGGAGTGAATGGATTTGAGTGTGAGGATTTTAAAGTCTATCAATTCGGTGATGGGGAGCCAGTGGAGCCAAGCCAGAACTGGTGAGATGTGGGTACAGAGTTTGGTCCGGGTCACTATGCAGGCAGCAGAGTTTTGAATGAACTCGATCTTGTGAACGGTGGAGCTGTGGAGACCGGGGAGGGGTCCGTTGGAGTAATCCAACCGGGAGGTGACAAACTCATGTGCGAGGGTTTCGGCAGTATTTGGGGTAAAGTAAAGTCGGAGATGGGCAATATGGCGGAGGTGGAAGGAGGATGTCCTGGTCAGGGACCAGATGTGATGGGGGGTGTGGAAGGACAATTGGGGATCGAACTGGATGCCGAGGTTGCGCACTGGTTCAGTGAGTTTGAGGAAGAGCCCAGGGAGATTGAGCAGTTTAGATCCGCAGGAGAAAAGGAAGTTTCTATCCCCTCCCCCTCCCTACTGGTGTCCTGGCAGACAATCCCCAATAAAAATTAATCATTCACTTCACGGCTGTTTGTAGCACTTTGCTGTATGCAAATTGGCTACAAAATATTAAGCAAGAAAGTCACCTCAAGTTCAGGGTTGCAAAGGACAATATCTAGACAGATGCCCGGCTGAATCAATAGAACATTTAAAAAGGAACTGGTTAGCAGAAAGCAAAGAGTTGTGGTGAACGATTATTTTTCAGACTAGAGGGAAGTGTGCAGCGCTGTCCCCCAGGGGTCGGTATTGGGACCACTGCCATTTTTCATCTATGTAAATGACCTAGACTTGGGCATAGGGAGTACAATTTCCAAGTAAGCAGATGATATTGAGCTAGGAAAAGTAGTAAACAGTGAGGAGGATAGTAGCACACTGCAAGAGGACATAGACAGACTGGTAAAATGGACAAACACGTGGCAAATGAAGTTTAATGCTGAGAAATGCAAAGTGATGCATTTTGGGAGGAAGAATGAGGAGAGGCAATATAAGTTGATGGTACAATCTTAAAGGCGGAGAAGGAACAGAGAGACCGGGGGGTTCATATCAGTAAATCTTTAAAGGTGCAGGACAAGTAGATAAAGCTGTTAAAAAAGCACATGGGATACTTGGCTTTATAAATAGGAGCAGAGAATACAAAAGTCAGGAAGTTATGATGAACCTTTATAAAACACTGGTTGGGCCTCAGCGAGAATAATGTGTATGTATATCTGCAGCATGTGCAGCTCAGCCATAGACAGAGAGAACTGAGGTTAGCAGACTTGCCTTCAGGACAGGAGGCATATCAGAAGGCAGGAGGATGGTGGGTGAGGGAGGAGGAGGGCTACAAGAGCATTGCTATGTCAGTAATAAAACAAGACAATGAAATAACAATCGAACGTGAGTCACAATCAAACCACTGGGTTATCAATGTAGGTACAGCCTCAATCCCTCAAAGGAAAGCAACGATTTGACAAAGGACCTTCTGCTCCATTAGAGAGAGACAGAGAAGAGAACCATAGTCATGGCCTTCACTGGGCAGTATAAACTAGAGAGTCAGGAGAACTTTGAACCATTTATGAGAGCTATTGGTGAGTGTCTGGGCTGACGACAACAACTTGCATTTATATAGCTCCCCTCATGCAGGGTCCCAGAGCGCTTGACAGTGGTGGAGCACAACACCGAGCCGGGGGAAAGGGGGGTTGACCCTAGGTCGAAGAGGAAGGTCATCAGGCGCTACTTGAAGATAGGGAAGGAGGGGACAAGGTGGAAGGATTGAGAGAGAGTGTTCCAGAGTTTCAGGGTGTAGTGGCTGCAGTGTTGGGGGGAGGGGGGAGCACTGCAACGTTTGATGTGACACTTCATTTCACGGCTGTTTGTGGGACATTGTTGTGCGCAAATTGGCTACTTATGCTCAACTATAAAATACATAGCAATATTCCATGCATCCCTTCTACACGTGGAAATTCTCATGTATTAGAATGGAATGTACACTATTTCCTTGGAGAGCTGAATGCCGCTTATCTAATTCCGAAGAGTACCAGGCATCCTCTGACAAGATCCAAGGCTTGAGGACCCAAGAGCATGTGATAGGGTACCTGCTGAAGTTTAACCAGTTAAAGCTGCACAGCTTGCCATTGAGAGAACTGTCTGGCAAGCTTTACCGCTGCTTGTCCAGCTGGGACCACACTACCCGTTAGGAATCAGCAAACCCAGGGTTTGATCAAAACTTAGTGAATGTGTCAAACCATGCGCAATAGATAGGATTGCGATGGCATTCAATCTATCCTGGATCATTGTTGATCTGAGTTTAAGAACATACACAGAGCAACTGCTATATTTAAAAATGTGAGACTAACGTAGATATATGCACTGGATATGGCAGAACAGATACGTCGTGTGCAATGAATTATACAGTGGGCAAATTAGTAAAAATAGTATGTGTGTGTGTTGGGGTGTGTTTGTGGGTGAGGGGGGTTGGGGGGGCAGTAACCCAACCCAGTGTTATGAAATCTAGACCAGGAACCAACCAAACAGAACCAAATCCAGCCCAGAGAAGGGCAAAACAACCCAACCCATCCAAACAACACAAGTCTTTACCTCCCGGCTTCGCAAACAGTCATGGAGTGAGTAATCAATTTTATCTGGGGATTGTTTGCACCTTCTCTTTACGAATAGCACCATGGGATCCTTACCATTAAACAACAACAATTTGCATTTATATAGCATCCCAGAGCGCTTGACAGTGGCAAAGCATGACACTGAGCTCAGGGGCAGGTGACCCTAGGCACAGGGGCAGGTGACCCTAGGCACTAGGGCAGGTGACCCTAGGCACAGCTGAAGAGTCTAAGAGTCTTCTGGTGTGACCTGAAGATGGGGAAGGAGGGGGAAAAGTGGCTGAAAGTACTGCCACCGATGGTCAAGCAGGAGACCAGAGCCAGTCGAGTGGAAGCAACGGGTAGTGGGTTCAGGAGTAAACAGGTTGGAGAGGTAAGAAGGTACCAGAGCATGAGGGGATTTGAACAGGAATAGATGGACCTTTGTTTAACATTTCATCTGATAATCCAGCATATCAGAAATCTTGCAACTGTGCCCCCACCCGCCCACCACCACCAAACTAAATGATAATTGTTGCTCTGTTTGGCAGTTTTGTGGTGCTCCAGCAAAGCACTATCAATCCCTTCTGAAGCATCAATTGGTAGCACTATCTACTTTCAGTCAGAAGGTTGTGGCTTGAAGTCCTACATTAGGACTTGAAACCCATATAGCCTAGCCTGAAACTCAAATGGAATGCTGGGGTTCCATCCTTCAAATGAGATGTTAAATCAAGGTCCCCTTTGCCTGTTCAGGTGGATGTTAATGGTCCCATGGCACTGACTGAAAAGAGAAAGGAGTTTCTCTCTCCTGGGATCCTGACCGACAATCCCTCAAATATAATTGATTACTCACTTCATGGCTCTTTGTGGGATGTTGCTGAGTGCAAATGGTCTGCCACATTCATCCACAAAAACACACAGTCACTTCACTTTACAGTATACCATAAGAACATAAGAATTAGCAGCAGGAGTAGGTCATTCGGCCCCTCTAGCCTGCCCCGCCTTTCAATAAGATCATAGCTGATCTATTCTAACTCCACCCACCCGCCTTATCCCCATAGCCCTTGATCCCTGAATCCACAAGAAATCTATAAACCTCAGTCTTGAATACGTTCAAGGACTGAGCATCTACAGCCCTTTGGGGTAGAGAATTCCATAAATTCACTGCCCTCTGAGTGAAGAAGTTTTTCCTCAACTCAGTCGAAAGGGCTTACCCTGAATTTTAAGACTGTGAACCCAGGTTATAGTTTCTCCAACCAGGGGAAAAAGTCTCCCACTATCTGTTCTGTCGTGCCCCTTAATAATCTTACAGGTTTCTATAAGATCACCTCTCATTCTTCTATATTCCAGAGAATATAGGCCTAAATTACTCAACCTGTCCTCGTAACTCATCCCCCTCATCCCTGGTACCAACCTAATGAATCTACATTGTAACTCCTCCAAGGCAAGTACGTCCTTTCTTAAATAAGGAGACCAAAACTGCACACAATACTCTAGGTGCAGTCTCACCAGGGCCTTAATAATAATAATAATATTCCTTGCATTTGATATAGCGCTTTTCACATCGGGAGGACGTCCCAAAGCGCTTCACAGAACACACTTTAAAGTGAATTGACTGTATATTTGTGGGCGAACTCGGCAGCCAATTGCGCACAGCAATGTCCCACAAACAGTTGTAGATTGAAAATGACCAATTTATTATTGTTTTTGGTTTTTTGGAGGGATTATTATTAGGCTCTGTGTGGAGTAAGGAAACTTGCCCAAGGTTTCGCCCTCTGCCTGGAATTGAACTCAGGTCTCTCACTTGCAAAGCGAGCGCTCTAACCACTGAGCTACAGGACTCCACAACTTGTTTAGTTGCAGCAAGACTTCCCTACTCTTATATTTTAACCCTTTTGTAACAATTGCCAATATACCGCGAGCTTTCCTGATTGCTTGCTGTACCTGCCCTTCTCTCCCCTTCTAAAAAATAATCTGCTCTACTGTTTTTCCCACCGAGGTGGATGACCTCACACTTTCCTACATTATACTTCATCTGCCACCTATATGCCCACTCACCCAGCCAAGCTATATCTTGTTGCCTTTTTTTAATGTCATCCTCAGTGTTTACTATCCCTCCTCGTTTAGTGTCATCGCCTGACCGCCGATGGTGGGAGGAAGCAGACAGGTTAATATGGACTTAGGTAAATAGGTACAATTGACCATTTGAAATTATGATCTGTCTATTTCTAGGTCTCTCAAATGAAGACATTGAGCAAACCAAGGCCATTGGCTGGGTGACCGATATCATCCAAGAAGGCGACCATTTCAAAATGATCACCTCATTAAGCAACAGGCAACACGTCAACGAGTTTACTCTGGGGAAAGAGGCAATGATTCATACCTTCACTGGAAAAAAGTTCAAGGTAACTTACCTCAATCACGTGACTCCAAACATTCATCTGAGACTTGATGCCAGGGCACGCCATGCTTCATACAGCCATAGATATTCACAGCACAGAAGATAGTCATTTGGCTAGTGAGAGGCGAGGTATGGAGATGGCATTTCAAAATCTCCTCCCGTACCAACAGCTAAAAATTAAATGCATGACAACAACTTGAATTTACACAGCGCTCTTCACACAGGGCAATGTCTCAGAGCGCTTAAACAATGGCGGAGCATGACATTGAGCCGGGGGGAGGGAGGTGGTGACCTTAAACTCAGTCAAAGAGGAAAGTCTTCAGTCATGATCTAAAAGAGGAGAAAGAGGGGGCAAGGTGGAGGGATTGCGGGATAGAGTTCCAAAGCTTTGGTGTGTAGTGGCTGAAAGCACGGCTGCTGATGATGGAGCAGAGGGGACGAAGGATGAGCAGGAGGCCAGAGCTAGTGGAGAGAAAGCAAATCATAAAGGTAGGGAGGTCTCAGAATGTGAAGGGATTTGTAGACGAGTGAGAGGATCTGGAAATCGATTTGTTCTATGACAGGGAGCCAGTGGCGAGGAAAAATGTGAAGGGCCTACTGAGTTAGTGTGGGTTTACTGAAATCACTTCTGCACGCAATCTTTTAAAAAAATCACAGGACTACGCATAGTTTTTATTATCTTTTTTCTGTAATCAAACTCCCTTTCCTTCCTGAAGTCTTTGTCACGTCTCCCTCACTTCTCGCTCTCTGTAACCCTCTCTATGTTATTTGTTAGGCTGGGCTCTTGTTTAACCATACCTACAGTCACCTCCTCTCTCACCTGCCTCGGTGTTAGGCTCCACCACTGTTAAACGTTCCGAGCTACTCTGTATGAAGGCACTAAATAAATCCTGTTGTGTTGTTATAAGGTTTCTCTCTGGTCTTATTCAGAGTAAACCTTAAAAATCATAGAACCAAATCTACATGTCAGCATCATGTCACCACGTTTTGGTTAATAATAATCCTTGCATTTGATTCAGCACTTTATCCTGTCATCAAGACATCTCAAAGTGCTTCAAAGGATTTTACTGTCACTGTGTATTTTGCAGGCGAAAGTGGCAGCCAGTTTTGCACATAGCAATTTCCCACAAACAATCGACTGACTGATTTAACTGGAGGATTGTCGATCAGGACATTGTGAGAAACTCTCTTCTCTTTTTCAGTAGTGCCACGGGATCTTTAACATCCGCCTGAACAGGCAGAGGGTACCTTGTCTCATCCGAATGACGGCACCTCTGTTAATGCAGCTTTCCCCCAGCACTGCATTGGAGTGTTAGCCTAAACTACAGGAGTTCCAAATGGAGCTAGTTTGGGACTTGAGCCCACAACCTTCTGAATCAGGGGCGAGAGCGCAATCGACTGAGCCAGATTGACACCTGAGAAACATTAAGAAATGTTATTGTAACGAAACAAAATGATGAAGCGTTGCATAGTTGTGTTAAGGCTGAGACCAGGTGAACTTATAGACCTCAATCAGATCTGTACCAAGGTGGATGGAGAAGTGGGGATAAATAATACAAATAATAAATAATATTCGTTATATTTGATGTTGAACAATTCCAAGTCATCAAGTCCTCTCAAAGCGCTTCAACTGTACTGTTACTGGAAAGTGTAGTTGCAGTCAATGTGCGCACAGCAATGTCCCACAAGTTAACAATGAATTTTATGGGTCAGGATTATTGTCCAGGACAGGTAAAGTGTAATGTCTGTGTACTTTGTAATAATCCTTGCTTTTGATACAGTGCGTTAGCACATCATTGAGACGTGTCAAAGCGCTTCGCAGTGTAAAGTGGTTTTGACTATATATTTTGTGGGCAAAACGCAGCAGCCAGTTTGTACACAACAATGTCCCACAAACAGCCATGAAGTAAATGACCAATTTTATTTGGGATTTGTTGACAAGGACACTGGGAGAAAAGTGCATTGGAACTCGTGGAGTCCTGTAGCTCAATGGTTAGAGCACTCGCCTTGCAAGCGAGACACCTGGTTTCAATTCCAGGCAGTGCAAAACCTTGGGCAAGTTTCCTTACTCCACACACCTAATAATAATCCCTCCAAAACAAAAAATAATAAATTGGTCATTTTCAATCCACGACTGTTTGTGGGACACTGCTGTGCACAATTGGCTGCCGAGTTTCGCCCACAAATATTCGGTCAATTCACTTTACAGCATATTCTGTGAAGCACTTTGAAACATCTAGAAGACGTGAAAAGCACAATATCAAAAGCAAGAATTATTATTATTATTATTATTTAACGTCTACCTGAACAGTCAGATGGGACCTCGGTTTAATGTCTCATTTGATGGATGGCACTTCCGACAATGCAACACACCCACAGTGCTGCTTTGGAGTGTCCACTTAGACTATGTGATTCCAAGTCCCGACAACTTCCTGACCCAGAGGCGAGAACTCTACCACTGGTCAGGCAGTCAACCAAAATAGATCTGCCTCAATGTATTAAAGTGGCCTCCTGCTGAAGCCATATGAACACATGAATGACTGAGCTCTGTATTCCTCACCAAGGTAACGATCCACGCTGATGGACCCACTAAACTGATTGGAAAAATGCAACACATAAGGACTGTCACCGAGCTGAAAGGGGACAAATTGATTAGCGTAAGTTGCTATTGAGAACAACAACAACAACAACAAGATTCCATTTATAAAGCGCCTTTCACGTCAGGAGAGGAATGGCTGGGGAAAGTTGGATGGACTTGGATGGGCTTGTGGAGCAGGACTCCTGGTGAGCCTTTGCTCAGCTCCTCGTGGCTGATTGTCAGTGTGTGCAATGCCGAGTCTGTGGAATACATCAGCCCTCAAACACTGGAAAGATAAGGCTCTAATGGGGGGCCCTTCGGGAGCTGAGTCACGGCCTGAAATTCCACATCATCTCAGTCTTATAGCCCATAGGGTGGGGGAGGGGGGAGAGTACGGGTGGGGTGGTGGGGAATCCTCCTGGGTCTAGATTTCCTCTGATATTTTTGACATTTCACAGCGTCCCAAATATTTTAAAATCAGCTTTACTTTTCAAAGCCGTCTTTCCTATTTAACTGTGCTTTCGGACTCATACACCTCCCCATCCCGCACACTCACCCCACATCTCCACCCACCCCGACATCTCCACCCACCCGAGCTTGGCTCCTACTCCTATCTTGGGTGCCCAGTCACAAGTGCTTTGGGACATGCTGCCAATGTGAAAGGCAGCAGCACTCTTTCCTTCCAGCATCCTGGGATGTCTTTCCGATATGCAGTGTTATTTGTTGTTGAGTCAGAAGGTTGTGGGTTCAAGTTGCCCTTTTGGGAATTTGAGCTGCCAGTCTAAGCTGATGCTGCAGTCCAGCGCTGAGGGCAGCACTACACTGTCAGCGTCGCTGTCTTTCTAATGAGACGTTAATAATAATCCTTGCGTTTGGTATAGCGCCTTATCACATCAGAAGGACATCTCAAATAAATTCTGAAATCCCACAGTGTAGTGGTTAACACACTCGCCTCGCAACCGAGAGGACCTGTGTTTGATTCCTGGGTAGGGCGAAAAGTTCGGCAAGTTTCCTTACCCTACATGCCTCTGTTTACCTCACAGTAATTAGGGACCCCGTTGTTAGTCATATCGCTTTCCGAAAGTAATAATCCCTTCCCACGAAAGAAAATTGAGGTGAGAGTGTAACCACTGAGCCAGGCTGACACTAAACTGAGGTCCCACCTACCGGTGGATGTTAAAGATCCTATGGCATTATTGAAAAAGAGAAGAGAGTTTCTCTCTCCTGCTGTCATGGCCCACAATGCCCCAGATAAAATCGATCATTGACTTTATAATAATAATAATAATAATTCTTGAATTTGATATAGCGCTTTTCACGTCTTCTATTATTGTTTTTTTTTCTTGAGGGATTATTATCAGGCAGAATAAGTAATGGAGCAAGGAAACTTCCCCAAGGTTTCACTCTGCCGGGAATCAAACCCAGGTCTCTCGCTTGCAAAACAAGTGCTCTAACCACTGAGCTACAGGAAACCACAGACTTTATGATTATTTCTGGGGCGTTACTGCATGAAAGATGGCTGCTGTGTTCCCCTACACAGTGCACAGTTACTACTTCACAGTATTTTGGTCACCTTCCTCCCCCTCCCCTGGCTCGGCGCCGGGACATGTTATTGTGAAGCGCTCTGAGACGCCGTCCGGCGTGGAGGGCGCTATATAAATCCAAGTTGTTGTTGTTATTTTATCATCTCGTTCCAGACAATGATTGATGGAGATATCGTCTACAAGTCTGTCAGCAAAAAGGTCAAGTGAAAGGGACATTGTGTAGTTAATTATACAACACTGTCTGTCAAAATAAAACTACCAATTCTACTTCAGTATAGTACAACGTTATGTCAGATTAACAACAAGAACAACAAAATTACATTTGTATCGCGCTTCTCACATCGGGAGGACATACCAAAGCGCTGGACAGTCAGTATTTCGGATCCGAGCTGGGGGTCGGGATTGGGGAGGGTGGAGGGCGGGGGGGGGAGCAGGATGATTGAAAGCACCATCGAAGAGGAGGGTCTTAAGATGGGTCTTCAAGGAGGCAAGGATGGGGGCGAGGAGAAGGGACTGTTGGATGGTGTTCCAGAGGGTGGAGGCAGAGTGGCTGAAGGCCCGCCTGCCATAGGTGGGCAGGGGATGTGAAGCAGGCCAGAGCCCGCTGAGCGGAGGGAGCTGGAAGGATTGTAGGGGCTCAGGAGGTTGCAGAGGTAGGGTGATGCAAGGCCATGGAGGGCTTTGAAGGTGAGGACCAGGAATTTGAATTGTATCCTCTGAGTGATGGGAAGCCAGCGGAGTCAAGCAAGGATGGGGGTGATAGGGTCACAGAGCCTGGTACGGGAGAGGACACCGGCTTCAGAGTTCTGGATGACCTGCAGCCTATGGAGGGAGGAGTTGGTGAGGCCAATAAGCAGTGAGTTTGCATAGTAAAGCCTGGATGTTCTGAATGCATGTGTGAGGGTTTCAGCGTCCTGCGGTGGAGCCAGGCGATGTTGAAGAGGTGAGGAAAGGCAGAGAGGGTCATGGCTTGGATGTGGGAGAGAAAGGATAGTTGAGGGTCAAACAAGACGCCAAGGTCCCGGACTGGCTTAGCAAGGTGGAGTGTGCATCCTTGGATGGTGATGCTATCAGCGCCTGAAATGCGGAGGCTCTGACAGCAGCCAATCAGGAGAGACTCGGTCTTGTTGACGTTCAACAGAAGAAAGTTCGCTCTCATCCAGGACTTGATGTCTGACAGACATTCTGTCAGGACAGCAGTGGTCCTGGAGTCAAGAGTGAGGGGGAGAGGTAGAGTTGGGTGTCATCTGCATACATGTGGAATTCGACCCCGTGTCTATGGATGATGTCACCAAGAGGGAGCATATAGATATTGAAGAGTGATAGGGCAAGACAGACCAAGGACGGAGCCTGAGGAACGCTGCACAAGACTGTGCAGTGGCTTGGAGGAGAAACCGTTTATGGAGATGAAATGGAGACAGTGTGAGAGGAATGGTCTGAACCAGTCAAGGACAGAACCATGAAGGTTGAGGTGAGAGGGGAGGTGGTGGATGAGGATAGAGGGGTCACTGGTATCGAAGGCAGCAGAGAGGTCAATGAGGACAAGGGGGCAGAGGGAGCCCTGGTCGCAGATGGACAGAATGTCATTTGTCACTTTGACCAGGGCTGTTTTCTGTGCTATGTGCAGCATGGAAACCGACTGGAGGGGTTCGAGAAGGGAGTGGCAGGAGAGGAAGGAGCGAAGCTGGGAAGCAATGACTCACTCCAGGATCTTGGAAATGGAAAGGGAGATTGGAGATGGGGCTGTAGTTTGAGAGCAGGGATGGGTCCAGTCAGGGTTTTTGAAGGATAGGAGTGATGATGGCCATTTTTAAAGGACTGGGAATAGTGCCAGTGGACTTGGAGAGGTTTATGATGTCTATGAGTAGAGAGTCAAGGAGGTGGAGCTGTGAGGTAAGGAGAGGGGTAGGGATGGGGTCGAGGTAGCAAGTGGTTGGTTTCATGCAGGTTATATTGGTGGAGAGAGGAGTGGGAAACAACTTCGAAGGTGTGGAGGGAGTGATGGGTAGGGGCCAGAGTGGGAAGGGAAGATGTGAGGTGGTAGTAGACAGAAGGGCAGAAGCAGCTGAGTGGATCCCTCAACTTTGGATTCAAGGAAGTCCAGCATCGCCTCTCAGTTGGCATTGGAGATGAGGATTGGTGAAACATGAGAGGGTGGGCAGAGGATTCGGTTGGAGATGGAGAAGAGGAGCCTGGGCTTGTCCTTGGCCTCCAAGATTGTTTTGGAGTTAGAACGACGATTTAAAGGAGGAGCGATAAGAGATGATAACATCCAGCCAGATCTGCTGATGCACCCCCAGGTTGAGGGGGTGACTGCGGACATGGGTTGCAGAGTGGATGTGGAGGAGAAGTTGAGGGAGGAGAAAAGGGAGGAGAATTCAGCAGAGGTATAGCAGGAGGGGGTGAAGTGAAGGTTGAATTTCCCTAAGATGAGGACGTGTTCAGAGCAGAAGGGAGAGAGATGATAGAAGAGTGGAAATGTCGGGGATGAAGATGGGGGAGGCCTTGTGGGGACAATAGATAAGGAGAATTTTGAGGGAAAGTTTGGAGGATAAAGAATAAGGTGCTCAAAGGAGGGGACGTTTCCAGAGTAGGAAATAGGCTGAGCGGGGACCGGGAGATGAGAGCCACACCGCCATCAAGGTGGTTATGTTGTGGGCTATGATGGAAAGTGTAGCAGGGTGGTTTGGTCTCTATCAGAGGAAAGGTGTCCCCTGGAGTGATCCTGTTTTCAGTGAGGGCGAAAATGTCGATGTTATTGTCGACAATGAGATCTTGGATGGTGAGTGTTTTATTGGAGAGGGAGCGGACATTTTGTTGGCTGATGCAGAGGCGACAGTTGGTAGCAGAATGTGGGGTCAAGGGGGGGAGGGGAAGGACAGACAGGGTGGGTGGAGCTATGGATGAGGGAGGAGAGGTTGGCCCCAGGGATCAGGGACCTATGGCCTTTGCGGCGAGACTGGGGGATTCGAAAGCAGTGCTGGACACTCGGGGTGTTGCATTATTGGAGGGGCCGTCCTTTAGATGAGACGTTAAACCGGGGTGGGTGGGAACCACAGGGGCCCCCGAGTTAGCTGAGCGGAGGGGAACAAGCAGAGGAATAGGGCTGGAGGAGATCTAGTGAGGGTGAAGTGAGGACCTTGAAGTCAATCAGTGGGGAAACATGGAGCCAGCAAAGCTTGGCAGGACTGGGTGATGAGGCAGCAGAGTTTGATGAGAATAATAATAATAATAATAATCATAATCCTTGCATTTGATATAGTGCTTTTTCACGTCTTCCAGACGTCTCAAAGCTCTTCACAGAATATGCTGTAAAGCGAATTGACTGTATATTTGTGGGCGAAACGCAGCCAATTGCGCACAGCGGTGTGCCACAAACAGTCGTGGATTGAAAATGACCAATTTATTATTGCATTGTGTTTTGGAGGGATTATTATTAGGTGTGTGGAGTACGGAAACTTGCCCAAGGTTTTGCCCTGCCTGGAATTGAACCCAAGTGTCTCGCTTGCAAGGCGAGTGCTCTAACAACTGAGCTACAGGACTCCACGTACGTAAGCAGCTGAGTTTTGTGAGATTAATTCTGCTGCACATGGCTTTTGTCTCTTTGCTTGTGTATTGTGATGCATATTCAACATCAAATAAAAATGATTACAAAATCATCAAATCATGTGGAAACCTATCACCGTGCTTAAGACCGACCATACTACTGAGAGTTCCACATGTGCGTGGAAATTTACCCGTGTCTAGTAGTGGAGTGCGCACTCTCTCCCATGGAGGTTCGCATCCTGTTTGACGCTGCACCCGAGCTGGGGGTTGGAGCCGGGGGTAGGTGGGTGATCAGGAAAAGATCTGTCTCAAAGTAGCAAAATGTGGGAACCAACTAAGTGGTCTACTACTACTTTCTGTTTGAAGATTTCAATGACTGAGTGAGCACTTTATTCCTTACCCAAGTAACAGGAGCACTCCTTGTGATTCAGACTTAACCTTTATCCTCTGACCAAGTTCACCCACTGACTGCTGAGCGTCATCCCTCTATTTTTTAAAAATCTATCAGTCTGAAGGCTGAGACTGAAAGATTTTTAAAAAACAGAGTGAATAGCGGATATGTGGATAGGGCAGGTAATTAGAGTTAAGTCTGAAGATCAGCCATGATCTTATTGAATGGTGGGGCAGGCTCGAGGGGCCGAATGGCCTACTCCTGCTCCTAATTCTTATGTTCTTATGTTCTTATTGCTCAGTTCCTGGTGGCTGATTGTCAGCGCGTGAGATGCCGAGTCAGCACATTGAGCCGGCACTCAAACGCTAGAAAGATAATAATCCTTGCATTTGATATGGCAGCTTATCACATCTTCGAGGCGTCTCAAAGCATTTCACCGAATATACTGTAAAGTAAATTGACTGCATATTTCGTGGGTGAAACGCGGCAGCCAATTGGGCCCAGCAGTGGCCAACAAACAGTCGTGGTTTGAAGTGACCAAGTTTCTTTTTTAAGGGATTATGACTAACAACTTGGTTCCTACTTACTACTGGATAAACAGAGGCACGTGGAGTAAGGAAACCTGCCCAACGTTTCACTCTGCCTGGGAATCGAACCCAGGTCCTCTCACTTATGAGGTGAGCGCTCTAACAACTGAGCTACAGGACTCCAAAAGATAATCGTCTGATGGGGGGCACTGAGCAGGCCTGAAATTCCATCTAATCTTTTTTCTTTCCATCCCACCGGTATGCGACATGCGACAGGAAACCTGTCTCTGTACTTAAAAGTCTCTTAAGTGTGTGTTTGATATGGCAACTGTCTCAAAGCTCTTTGCAGGATTCACTGTAAAGTGTCATGAGTGAAGTGTAAAATAAATTTAAAAAATTATGATGTGTTCACTCAATCCATGACTGTTTGTGGGACACGACTGTGTGCAATTGGCTGCCACATTTCACCCAGAAAGTAAACAGTTTATTTTATAATATATTTGGTGCTCTCTCGAGGACATGATCAGGCACTATATCAAATGAAAGGATTATTATGTTATTATTAATGCTCAGTAAATGTTTGGTATCGTTCCAAATAATGAAAATTATCTCATTCCAGATAAGGAAAATCGGACAACTCCTGTATAGAAGCGTCAGCAAAGGGATCAGCTGTACAAAAAGCAAAGGGCGCTGCGCGATTATTGCAGTGTTGTGTGTAAAAATAAAACTACCACTACCTGAATTTACACCCTGAACTTCAGGCAGTATAACAACAATTTGCACTTATATAGAGTCCTCCACACAGGGTAGCATCTCAGAGCCTTAACAGTGGCAGGCGGAGCCTGAATCCGAGCCGGTGGTTGGGGATGGGGAGAAGGTGGCCGTAAGCACGGTCGAAAAGGAAGGTTTTCAGGTGGGACTTGAAAAAGGGGGAGAGAGTGGCAAGGCGGAAGGATTGAGGGAGTGTGTTCCAGAGCTTCGGGGTGTAGTGGCTGAAAGCACAACCTCCAATGGTGGGGTGGAGGGTGCAAGGGACAAGCAGGAGGCTGGTGCCAGTCGAGCGGAGATGCCAGGTGGTGGATTGGGGAGTGAGGATGTCAGAGAGGTAGGGAGGTGCCAGGGAGTGAATGGATTTGAACAAGAGTGTGAAGATCTTGAAGTCGATCCATTCGGTGATGGGGAGCCAGTGGAGCCTGGGCAGAACTGGTGACATGTGGGTACGGAGTTTGGTCCAGGTCAGTATGTGGGCAGCAGAGTTCTGAATGAGGTGGATCTTTTGAATAGTGGAGCTGAGGAGAACTGCTAGGAGTGAGTTTGAGTAATCCAAGTGGGAAGTGACAACCTTGAGATGGGCCACAAAGGAGGAAAGAGAGTGGGCGAGGCGGAGGGGCTCTGCGATGGTGAGGTGAGTGCAGAAAGACTATAGGCCCAACCAACGATGGTGGAGCGGGCAGGGCAGGGGTTGTGAAGAATGTGAGTGCCCACCATGTGGAGAATGCAGACACGTTGTTAAAGATTTTGCAGGTCACAGAGGTAGGGAGGAGCAAGATGATGGAGGGCTTTAAAAATGAGGAGAAGGATCTTGAACTCGGACCTCTGGGGTGACCAGTGAAGGATGGGGGTCATCAGGTCACAGAACTTAGTTTTAGCAGGTGACGTGAGCTGTAGAGTTCTGAATGATCTGCAGGTTCTGGAGGAAAGAATTAGGAAGTCTGGTGAGCAGGGTGTTAGCGTATTCAAGCTTGGAAGTGATGAAAGTGTGGACGAAGGTCTCGGCAGCCAGAGGGAAGAGGAATTGGTGGAGTTGGGCAATGTTGCAGAGGTGGGGGAAGGCAGAGCGAGTCAAGGTACAGATATAAGGTTTAAAGGACAGTTGAGGGTCAAACAAGCCACAAGATTTCTGTACTGGCTTCGTAAGGTGGAGTATGAATCCATGGAAAGTGATACTGTCATTGCTTGAATAGTGATGGGCACCAATCAGGAGAGCCTCGGTCTTGTTGGCGTTCAACAGAAGAAAGATTTGATGTCTGACAGACAGTCTGTCAGGACAGCAGTGGTCCTGGAGTCAAGGGTGGAGGCAGAGAGATACATTTGGAAGTTGACCCCATGTCTGCGGATGATGTCACCAAGAGGGAGCAGGTAAAAAGGATAGGACCAAGGACAGAGCCCTGGGGAATGCTGCATGTAATGGTGCAAGGGCTGGAGGAGAAGCCATTGGTAAATGTAAAGTGGAGTCAATGGGAAAGGTAAAAACAACAACAACAAAATGACATTTACAGAGCGCCTTGAACGTTGGGAGGAAGTCCTGCAAGCATCCCATCCCAGAAATGTTCAGACACAGATTGGCAAAGAGCCCTAGATGTGTGTTTGTGGGGTTAACAGTGGAGTTGAATTGGTTAATACAGCTTGCCATTGAGAGCACTGCCTGGCAAGCTTCTCACCGGTTGTTCAGCTTGGACCACGCTACCGTTTAGGGCTTTGGCTTGCAGGTTTAACAGGAGCTGCACACTTCCCTCTCATCAGAATAGCAATAGTTCACCACTACTCTTTGCTTTCTGCTAACCAGTTCCTTTTTAAATGTTCTATTGATTCAGCCGGACGTCTGTCTTGAAATTGTCCTTTGCAACCCTGAACTTGAGTTGACTTTGTTGCTTAATATTCTGTAGCCAATTTCCACACAGCAAAGTCCGACAAACAGCCATGAAGTGAATGATTAATTTTTATTGAGGATTGTCTGCCAGGACACCAGCAGGGAGGGGGAGGGGATAGAAACTTCCTTTTCTCCTGCGGATCTAAACTGCTCAATCTCCCTGGGCTCTTCCTCAAACTCACTGAACCAGTGCGCAACGTCGGCATCCAGTTTGACCCCCAACTGTCCTTCCATGTCCCCCCATCACATCCTTCTACCACCTCCGCCATATTGCCCATCTCCGACATTACTTTACCCCAAATGCCGCCGAAACCCTCGCACATGAGTTTCTCACCTCCCGCTTGGATTACTCCAACGCGCTCCTCCCCGATCTCCCCAGCTCCACCCTTCACAAGATCGAGTTCAATCAAAACTCTGCTGCCTGCATACTGACCTGGACCAAACTCTGTACCCACATCTCACCAGTTCTGGCTTGGCTCCACTGGCTCCCCATCACCGAATGGATAGACTTCAAAATCCTCAAACTCAAATCCATTCACTCCTCTACCTCTCCGACTTCCTCACTTCCCAATCCACCATCCAGCGCCTCTGCTCGATTGGCACCAGCTTCCTGCTCATCCCTCACACCCTCCACCTAGCATTGAAGGTTGTGCTTTCAGCCACTGCACCCCAAGCCTCTGAAACACTCTCTCTCAATCCCTCTGCCTTGCACCCTCTCTCCCCCTTTTTCACGTCCTGCCTGAAAACTTTCCTGTTCAACCGTGCTCATGGCCACCATCTCCCCCCAGCCCGGAGTCAGGCTCCGCCACTGTTAAACGCTCTGAGATGCCCACTGAGCCAAGTTGCCAAATAATAATGATCCTTACATTGAAACACTTTATGGGAAATTGTTGAGAATTGTAGTGACTGTTTCAGTGTCATGTATGCGGATGACACACAAATCTACTTTGCATCCTCCAGTACCAACTCTAGATCCGCTGAGGTTCTATCAGTGTGTCTGGCAGACATCAGAGTCTGGATCAGTGTAAACTTCCTACAGCTGAATGTGGACAAGTCGGAAGCCATACTCCTTGGCTCCCATCAACGTCTTCACTCCTGTGGATTTGAACTCCTCAACCTCCCTGGGCTCTCCCTCAGACTCACCGACCTAGTGCGCATTCTAGGCATTTGGTTTGGCCCCCAGCTGTCCTTCCTCCCCACAACCAGCCCCTATCAGGACTCCTCAACCTCCACTGGCTCCCCATCACTGAAAGGATCGACTTAAAGATCCTCACACTCGTGTTCAAATCCCTTCACTCTCTGGAACCACCCTACCTCTTCAACCTCCTCATTCCCCACTCCCCTAATTGGCGCCTCCGCTCGACTAGCGCTGGCCTCCTGTTTGTCCATTGCACCCTCCAACCCCACCATCTGAAGTTCCACTTTCAGCCACTACGCCCCAAAACTCTGGACCACTCTCACTCAATCCCTCCGTCTTGACCCCTCTCTCCCCTTTATTTCAAGTCCCCCCTGAAAACCTTCCTCTTCGACCATGATTAATAGCCTCCACTGGGACAGCTAGGGGAACTTGATCCAACTCTCCCAACACTTCAACATTGGGATTCACAGGGGGAGCATAGACATCTCCCCTCCTCATGTTAATCCAGATGAGGAGCAATAAAGCCCCAAAGAAGACAGACAGTGGATGGTGGCTGACAAGAGGCCACAAAAAAAACAAGAAAAAGAAGAAGATGAAGGACCCGATAAAGGGGAAGTAGCTGGAGTTGAAAAGGATGCTCATGGCCAAGGCAACAATTGACGGACTGTTTGGCAACCCCCAAACCCATCCACCCATTAATAATAATAATAATAATAGTAATAATAATAATCCTTGCATTTGATATAGCGCTTTTCACGTCGGGAGGATGTCCCAAATCGCTTCACAGAACACACTGTAGAGTGAATTAACTATATATTTGTGGGCAAACGCGGCAGCCAATTGCGCACAACAATGTCCCACAAACAGTCGTAGACTGAAAATGACCAATTTATTATTGTTCTTGGTTTTGGAGGGATTAAGTACCCAATCGTGAGTGGGGGCGGGGGAGTCTGGAGTTGGAGCGTCACAATCAAGGTAACTGGTAAAAACAGCATAAGATGTCTTTGAAGGTAGGTACCCTAAACATGTGCAGCTTGGCCAAAGACAGAGAGAACTGAGGTTAGCAGACTTGCCTTCAGGACAGGAGGCAAATCTGAAGGCAGGAGGATGGTGGGTGAGGGAGGAGGAGGGCTACAAGAGCATTGCTGTGTCAGTAATAAAACAAGACAATGAAATAACAATCGAACGTGAGTCACAATCAAACCACTGGGTTATCAATGTACGTACAGCAAAGCCTCAATCCCCTCAAAGGAAAGCAACGATTTGAGAAAGGGCCTTCTGCTCCATTAGAGAGAGGCAGAGAAGAGAACCATAGTCATGGCCTTCACTGGGCAGTATGAACTAGAGAGTCAGGAGAACTTTGAACCATTTATGAGAGCTATTGGTGAGTGTCTGGGCTGACGACAACAATTTGCATTTATATAGCTCCCCTCATGCAGGGTCCCAGAGCGCTTGACAGTGGTGGAGCACAACACCGAGCCAGGGGAAAGGGGGGTTGACCCTAGGTCGAAGAGGAAGGTCATCAGGCGCAACTTGAAGATGGGGAAGGAGGGGACAAGGTGGAAGGATTGAGAGAGAGTGTTCCAGAATTTCAGGGTGTAGTGGCTGCAGTGTTGGGGGGGAGGGGGGAGCACTGCTACGTTTGATGTGACACTTCATTTCACGGCTGTTTGTGGGACATTGTTGTGCGCAAATTGGCTACTTATGCTCAACTATAAAATACGTAGCAATATTCCATGCATCCCTTCTACACGTGGAAATTCTCATGTATTAGAATGGAATGTACACTATTTCCTTGGAGAGCTGAATGCCGCTTATCTAATTCCGAAGAGTACCAGGCATCCTCTGATAAGATCCAAGGCTTGAGGACCCAAGAGCGTGTGATGGGGTACCTGCTGAAGTTTAACCAGTTAAAGCTGCACAGCTTGCCATTGAGAGAACTGTCTGGCAAGCTTTACCGCTGCTTGTCCAGCTGGGACCACACTACCCGTTAGGAATCAGCAAACCCAGGGTTTGATCAAAACTTAGTGAATGTGTCAAACCGTGCGCAATAGATAGGATTGCGATGGCATTCAATCTATCCTGGATCATTGTTGATGTGACTGAGTTTTTGATGCGACTCATCTCTGAGAACAAACATTCACCTTCACAGACTGTTGCTGGTAGTTTAAGAACATACACAGAGCAACTGTTACATTTGAAAATGTGAGACTAACGTAGATATATGCACCGAATATGGCAGAACAGATACGTTGTGTGCAATGAATTACACAGTGGGAAAGTAGTAGAAATAGTATGCGTGTGTGTTGGGGTGTGTTTGTGGGTGAGGCGGGTTGGGGGGTGCAGTAACCCAGCCCAGTGTTATGAAATCTAGAAAAGGAACCAACCAAACGGAACCAAATCCAGCCCAGAGAAGGGCAAAACAACCCAACCCATCCAAACAACACAAGTCTTTACCTCCCGCCTTCGCAAACAGCCATGGAGTGAGTAATCAATTTTATCTGGGGATTGTTTGCACCTTCTCTTTACGAATAGCACCATGGGATCCTTACCATTAACAATAACAATTTGCATTTATATAGCATCCCAGAGTGCTTGACAGTGGTAAAGCATGACACTGAGCTCAGGGGTAGGTGACCCTAGGCACAGCTGAAGAGTCTAAGAGCCTTCAGGCAGGACCTGAAGATGGCGAAGGAGGGGTCAAGCAGGAGGCCGGAGCCAGTCGAGGGGAAGCAACGGGTAGTGGGTTCAGGAGTAAGCAGGTTGGAGAGGTAGGAAGGTGCCAGAGCATGAAAGGAATTGAACAGGAATAGATGGACCTTTGTTTAACATTTCATCTGATAATCCAGCATATCAGCAATCTTGCAACTGTGCCCCCACCAGCTGCCCACCACCAAACTGAAGGATATTTGTTGCCCTGTTTGGCAGTTTTGTGGTGCTCCAGCAAAGCACTATCAATCCCTTCTGAAGCATCAGCCTGGCTCAATTGGTAGCACTATCTACTTTCAGTCAGAAGGTTGTGGCTTGAAGTCCTACATTAGGACTTGAAACCCATATAGCCTAGCCTGAAACTCAAATGGAATGCTGGGGTTCCATCCTTCAAATGAGATGTTAAACCAAGGTCCCCTTTGCCTGTTCAGGTGGATGTTAATGGTCCCATGGCACTGACTGAAAAGAGAAAGGAGTTTCTCTCTCCTGGGATCCTGACCGACAATCCCTCAAATATAATTGATTACTCACTTCATGGCTCTTTGTGGGATGTTGCTGAGTGCAAATTGTCTGCCACATTCACCCACAAAAATACACAAGTCTCTTCACTTTACAGTATATCATAAGAGCATAAGAATTAGCAGCAGGAGTAGGCCATTCGGCCCCTCTAGCCTGCCCCGCCTTTCAATAAGATCATAGCTGATCTATTCTAACTCCACCCACCCGCCTTATCCCCATATCACTTAATCCCTTTATCCACAAGAAATCTATCAACCTCGGTCTTGAATATGTTCAAGGACTGAGCATCTACAGCCCTTTGGGGTAGAGCATTCCATAAATTCACTACCCTCTGAGTGAAGACATTTTTCCTCAAGGCAGTGTGAAAAATTTTTTAAGACTGTGTACCCGGGTTATAGTTTCTCCAACCAGGGAATAATGTCTCCCACTATCTGTTCTGTCATGCCCCTTAATAATCTTATAGGTTTCTATACGATCACCTCTCATTCTTCTATATTCCAGAGAATATAGGCCTAAATTACTCAGCCTCTCCTCATAACTCATCCCCCTCATCCCTGGTGAATCTACATTGTACCCCTTCAAGGCGAGTGCATCCTTTCTTAAACAAGAAGACCAAAACTGCACACAATACTCTTGGTGCAGTCTCACCAGGGCCCTATGCAGTGGCTGCAAGACTTCACTCTTATATTCTAACCCTTTTGTAACAAATGCCAACATACTGTTAGGTTTCCTGATTCCTTGCTATACCTGCAAGCTAACTTTTTGTGACTGGTGTACAAGGATGCCCAAGTCCCTCTGAACACTAACACTATCTTGTCTCTCCCCTTCCTGATTGCTTGCTGTACCTGCCCTTCTTTCCCCTTCTAAAAAATAATCTGCTCTTCTGTTTTTGCCACCAAGGTGGATGACCTCACACTTCCCAATATTATACTTCATCTGCCACCTATTTGCCCACTCACCTAGCCTATCTATATCTCGTTGCCTTTTTTTAATGTCATCCTCGGTGTTTACTCTCCCTCCTAGTTTAGTGTCATCCGCGAATTTAGATATATTAAGTTCGATGTCCCCGTCGAGATCATTGATGTAGATTGTATATAGTTGAGGCCCAAGCACTGATCCTTGTGGCACTCCACTAGTCACATCCCGCCAATCTCAGAAGGACCCATTTAGCCCTACTCTTTGTTATCTTCCTGTCAGTCATTCTTCAATCCATGCTAATATATTCCCCTTAATTCCATGAGCTCTAATCTTGTGGATTTCCTATAAAGCACTCTGAGACATCTCAATGATATGATAAGGCGCTACATCAAATCCAAGAATTATTATTTAGTATTTTCAGATGTCGCAACAACGTGAAAAGGCCCTGTATCAAATGTAATATTTAAATGTAAATATGTAAATGTAATAATATTTATTCTGCTCCATTGGAAAAAGTCCTTAATTGTTGTGTTAAGAAATCCACAAATAAATACAAGAACAACAAATTGCATTTGTATAGCACCTTTTACGTCGAGAGGACATTCTAAGGCGCTGGTTAGTCAAAGGAGGGTGACTGAAGGCAGGTCGAAGAAGAAGATCTTGAAACTTGCCTTGAAGGAGGCAAGGGAGGGAGTGAGGAAGGGACCGTGGGGAGGAATTCCAAAGGATGGGGGCAGAGACGCAGTAGGCCTGACCGCCGATGGTGGGAGGAAGCAGACAGGTTAATATGGAGTTAGGTAATTGGGTACAATTGACCCTTTTAAATGATATCTGTTTATTTCTAGGTGTCTCAAATGAAGACATTGAGCAAACTAAGGCCATTGGCTGGGTGACCGATATCATCCAAAAAGGCGACCATTTCAAAATGATGACCAGACTTAACAACAGACAACACGTCAACGAGTTTACTCTGGGGAAAGAGGCAAACATTGAAACCTATACTGGACAAATGTTCAAGGTAACTTACCTCAACCAGGTGACTCTAAACATTCATCTGAGACTTGATGCCAGGGCACGCCATGCTTCATACAGCCATAGATATTCACAGCACAGAAGATAGTCATTTGGCTAGTGAGAGACGAGGTATGGAGATGGCATTTCAAAATCTCCTCCCGTACCAACAGCCAAAAATTAAATGCATGACAACAACTTGAATTTACACAGCGCTCTTCACACAGGGCAATGTCTCAAAGCGCTTAAACAGTGGCGGAGCCTGACACCGAACCGTGGGGAGAGAGGAGGTGACCTTCAACATGGTCAAAGAGGAAAGTCTTCAGTCATGATCTAAAAGAGGAGAAAGAGGGGGCAAGGTGGAGGGATTGTGGGATAGAGTTCCAAAGCTTCCAAACCTGAACAGGCAGAGGGTACCTTGTCTCATCCGAATGACGGCACCTCTGTTAATGCAGCTTTCCCCCAGCACTGCATTGGAGTGTTAGCCTAAACTACAGGAGTTCCAAATGGAGCTAGTTTGGGACTTGAGCCCACAACCTTCTGAATCAGGGGCGAGAGCGCAATCGACTGAGCCAGATTGACACCTGAGAAACATTATGAAATGTTATTGTAACGAAACAAAATGATGAAGCGTTGCATAGTTGTGTTAAGGCTGAGACCAGGTGAACTTATAGACCTCAAACAGATCTGTACCAAGGTGGATGGGGAAGTGGGGATAAATAATACAAATAATAAATAATATTCCTTATATTTGATGTTGAACAATTCCAAGTCATCAAGTCCTCTCAAAGCGCTTCAACTGTACTGTTACTGGAAAGTGTAGTTGCATTCAATGTGCCCACAGCAATGTCCCACAAGTTAACGATGAATTTTATGGGTCAGGATTATTGTCCAGGACAGGTAAAGTGTAATGTCTGTGTACTTTGTAATAATCCTTGCTTTTAATACAGTGCGTTAGCACATCATTGAGACGTGTCAAAGCGCTTCGCAGTGTAAAGTGGTTTTGACTGTATATTTTGTGGGCGAAATGCTGCAGCCAGTTTGTGCACAACAGTGTCCCACAAACAGCCATGAAGTAAATGACCAATTTTATTTGGGATTTGTTGACAAGGACACTGGGAGAAAAGTGCATTGGAACTCGTGGAGTCCTGTAGCTCAATGGTTAGAGCACTCGCCTTGCAAGCGAGACACCTGGTTTCAATTCCAGGCAGTGCAAAACCTTGGGCAAGTTTCCTTACTCCACACACCTAATAATAATCCCTCCAAAACAAAAAACAATAAATTGGTCATTTTCAATCCACGACTGTTTGTGGGACACTGCTGTGCACAATTGGCTGCCGAGTTTCGCCCACAAATATTCGGTCAATTCACTTTACAGCATATTCTGTGAAGCACTTTGAAACATCTAGAAGACGTGAAAAGCGCTATATCAAAAGCAAGAATTATTATTATTATTATTATTTAACGTCTACCTGAACAGTCAGATGGGACCTTGGTTTAATGTCTCATTTGATGGATGGCACTTCCGACAATGCAACACACCCACAGTGCTGCTTTGGAGTGTCCACTTAGACTATGTGATTCCAAGTCCCGACAACTTCCTGACCCAGAGGCGAGAACTCTACCACTGAGCCAGGCAGTCAACCAAAATAGATCTACCTCAGTGTATTGAAGTGGCCTCCTGCTGAAGCCATATGAACACATGAATGATTGAACTCTATGTTCCTCACCAAGGTAACGATCAACTCTGATGGACCCACTAAACTGGTCGGAAAAATGGAACACATAAAGACTGTCACCGAGCTGAAAGGGAACAAATTGATTAGTGTAAGTTGCTATTGAGAGGAATGGCTGGGGAAAGTTGGATGGACTTGGATGGGGTTGGGGAGCAGGACTCCTGGTGAGCCTTTGCTCAGCTCTTCATGGCTGATTGTCAATGTGTGCAATGCCGAGTCTGTGGAATACGTCAGCCCTCTTACACCTCCCCATCCCGCCTACCCACCCCCATAACCCCACCCACCCGAGCTTGGCTCCTACTCCTATCTTGGGTGCCCAGTCACAAGTGCTTTGGGACATGATTCCGATGTGAAAGGCACAACACTCTTTCCTTCCAGCATCCTGGGATGTCTTTCCGATATCCAGTGTTATTTGTTGTTGTTGTTGAGTCAGAAGGTTGTGGGTTTTCATTTGCACTTTTGGGACTTTGAGCTCCCAGTCTAGGCTGATGCTCCAGTCCAGTTCTGAGGGAAACATTACATTGTCAGAGTCGCTGTCTTTCTAATGAGATGTTAATAATAATCCTTGCATTTGGTATAGTGCCTTATCACATCAGAAGGACATCTCAAAGAAATTCTGAAATCCCATAGTGTAGTGGTTAGCACACTCGCCTCGCAACCAAGAGAACCTGTGTTTGATTCCTGGGCAGGGCATAACCTGAGGCAAGTTTCCTTACTCTAAATGCCTGTTTACCTAACAGTAATTAGTCGATTGGCGGATCGCTTTCCGGAAGTAATAATCCCATTCCACCAAAGAAAATTGAGCTGAGAGTGTAACCACTGAGCCAGGCTGACACTAAACTGAGGTCCCACCTACCGGTGGATGTTAAAGATCCTATGGCATTATTGGAAAAGAGATGAGAGTTTCTCTCTCCTGCTGTCATGGCCCACAATGCCCCAGATAAAATCGGTCATTGACTTTATAATAATAATAATTCTTACATTTGATGTGGCGCTTTTTACGTGTTCTATTATTGTTTTTTTTCTTGAGGGATTATTATCAGAATGTGGAGTAAGGAAACTTCCCCAAGGTTTCACTCTGCTGGGAATCGAGCCAAGGTCTCTCGCTTGCAAAGCAAGTGCATTAACCACTTAGCTACAGGACTCCACAGACTTTATGACTATTTGCGGGGCATTACTGCATGAAAGATGGCTGCCATGTTCCCCTACACAGTACACAGTTACTACTTCACAATATTTTGGTCACCTTCCTCCCCCTCCCCCTCCCACTGGCTCAGCCCCGGGATCTGTTATTTTGAAGCGCTCTGAGACGCCGTCCGGCGTGGAGGGCGTTATATAAATCCAAGTTGTTGTTGTTATTTTATCATCTCGTTCCAGACAATGACTGATGGAGATATCGTCTACAAGTCTGTCAGCATAAAGGTCAAGTGAAAGGGACATTGTGTAATTAATTGTACAACACTTTCTGTTAAAATAAAACTACCAATTCTTCTTCAGTATAGTACAACGTTATGTCAGATTAAGAACAAGAACAACAAAATTACATTTGTATAGCTCTTTTCACATCGGGAGGACATCCTGATGTGAAAAGAGTCCTGTCGCTCAGTGGTTAGAGCACTCGCTGTGCAAGTGAGAGACCTGAATTCAATTCCAGGCAGAGGGCGAAACCTTGGGCAAGTTTCCTAACTCCACACGCCTAATAATAATCCCTCCAAAAAACAAAAACAATAATAAATTGGTCATTTTCAATCCATGATTGTTTGTGGGACATTGCTGTGCGCAATTGGCTGCCGCGTTCGCCTACAAATATGCAGTCAATTCACTTTACAGTGTGTTCTGTGAAGCACTTTGGGATGTCCTCCCGACGTGAAAGGCGCTATATCAAATGCAAGGATTATTATTATTATTATTATCCGAAAGCGCAGGACAGTCATTATTTCGGACCCGAGCTGGGTGTCGGGATTGGGGAGGGTAGAGGGCGGGGGGGGAACAGGGTGATGGAAAGCACGGTCGAAGAGGGGGGTCTTAAGATGGGTCTTCAAGGAGGCAAGGATGGGGGCGAAGAGGAGGGTCTGTGGGATGGAGTTCCAGAGGGTGGAGGCAGAATGGCTGAAGGCCTGCCTGCCAATGGTGGGCAGCGGATGTGAAGCAGGCCAGAGCCCGCTGACCGGAGGGAGCTGGAAGCATGTTAGGGGCTCAGGAGGTTGCAAAGGTAGGGTGATGCAAGGCCATGGAAAGCTTTGAAGGTGAGGACCAGGAATTTGAATTGTATCCTCTGAGTGATGGGAAGCCAGCGGAGTCAAGCAAGGATGGGGGTGATAGGGTCACAGAGCCTGGTACGGGAGAGGACACCGGCTTCAGAGTTCTGGATGATCTGCAGCCTATGGAGGGAGGAGTTGGGGAGGCCAACAAGCAGTGAGTTTGCATAGTAAAGCCTGGATGTTCTGAATGCATGTGTGAGGGTTTCAGCGTCCTGCGGTGGAGCCAGGCGATGTTGAAGAGGTGAGGGAAGGCAGAGAGCATCATGGCATGGACGTGGGAGAGAAAGGATAGTTGAGGGTCAAACAAGACGCCAAGGTCCCGGACTGGCTTAGCAAGGTGGAGTGTGCATCCTTGGATGGTGATGCTATCAGCGCCTGAAATGCGGAGGCTCTGACAGCAGCCAATCAGGAGAGCCTCGGTCTTGTTGACGTTCAACATAAGAAAGTTCGCTCTCATCCAGGACTTGATGTCTGATAGACATTCTGTCAGGACAGCAGTGGTCCTGGAGTTAAGAGTGAGGGGGAGAGGTAGAGTTGGGTGTCATCTGCATACATGTGGAATTCGACCCCGTGTCTATGGATGATGTCACCAAGAGGGAGCATATAGATATTGAAGAGTGATAGGGCAAGACAGACCAAGGACAGAGCCTGAGGAACGCTGCACAAGACTGTGCAGTGGCTTGGAGGAGAAACCATTTACGGAGATGAAATGGAGGCAGTGTGAGAGGTATGGTCTGAACCAGTCAAGGACAGAGCCATGAAGGTTGAGGTGAGAGGAGAGGTGGTAGATGAGAATATAGTCAACGGTATCAAAGGCAGCAGAGAAATCAATGAGGACGAGGGGGCAGAGGGAGCCCTTGTCGCAGATGGACAGAATGTCATTTGTCACTTTGACCAGGGCTGTTTTCTGTGCTATGTGCGGCATGGAAACCCGATTGGAGGGCTTCGAGAAGGGAGTGGCAGGAGAAGAAGGA